GCATCAAAGTTTTGTTTCTCAAGTGCATGATGAGTAAATAAGGATAGACATTCATCTTTGGACAGCAATTTTAGACGATAACTTGGAGACAAACTCATGGTTGATACAACGGTTCCAAGGCGAGTTGTGACAATAATTTTGCTCCCAGGTGCCCCAGCCATAAAGGGAGCACGTAGGACGTTCCAATCTTCATAGTTCTCGTTCCAAACATCATCCAAAACAAGAAGAAATCTTTTGCCTGACAAGCTCTCCATTAGTTTTTGTTGAAGCATATTCAGAGTCTCCAACTTGGGAGTTTTTGAAGTGACCGCCTCAAGAATGGCCTTTGTCACTCTAACAACATCATAGTCATCAGAAACGCAGACCCACGCCTTGGGATGAAAATGACCCTCTAGACTTTCATCATTGTAGACCAGCTTAGCGAGAGTTGTCTTGCCAATACCTCCCATGCCCACAATGGGAATGACAGATACTTTGTTAACACTGTCTTCATCCCTCAACAACAATTCAAGTATAGCTTCTTTGTCATTTTCTCTGCCATAAACGTGAGATTTATCTACGGAAGAAACGGTTTCCGGTCTTTTTGGTACTGTGTTGGACATCATATTGCGATCAAGAACTGTTCCAACATTCCTTATCAAATCCAGTCTCCTTTTTCGGGTTTCGATACCTTCTAATCGGTGAGTGAGTTGCTCTACCTTGGACATCATAGTGCTATCAAGCTTAACAGCACTAGGAGGTGGAGTAAAGCAAGTGCAACAAGTTGGGATGAGCTTTCGTACCTTACTAGTACTGCTGCTAGCTTGAGATTCTGGCTTGATCTGCTCCAGTCGCAAAGCTTCGGTATCTAACTCGTCCAGCAGATCATCCAAATGGTAAACGAAGTCGGTGAGATCCTCCATCCACGGCTTGACTCCTTCGTGTGTCATTTGCTTGTTCTCTGCGTCAGCCAGAACATCACGAATATCTGGCAGCATGTCCTGCAACTTCTTCAACTGACCATCGATTTCCTCTCGACGGGCATACTTTGACACCGCCAGAGTGATCAACCTGTCAACCAGCACCTGAATGACCGGCCCGACAACGATTCCCACAGCGTCCATGGATAACAAGTTGCAATAAGCAAAGGAAGAAAGAGATGGGGGTGAGTTTGTGAAAGATTGATCGAGCAATACAACAATATGATAGATCAAAATGGGTTTTGCTGCAACTAATCAGATTCAGACCAAGCTAGTGCAAGACAAAGAGGGTTGACGAAAAGGGTAGAGTCGTTCAAGATTGTCGGCTAATGTGGAAATAATTCATAGCACTTTGTATAGTTGATAGAAAATAAGTGATGGACAACAAATGTGGAATCTTTATTCTCCATCACTCATTTTCAGTAATATCTTGGCTGTCATGGTAACTTAAACTTACTCTGCTACGAAGGAAAGTTGTTGGTTTGATTATAAAATACAGAGTCAGTTTTGAAGGGCTTGCAATTGTATTACCTCCCCCATTCTCAATTGTATTAGAGTTCTTACCCCTCAACAAAATTTGAGGTTGTAAAATGGCGGATGATATTTTCCAACTGCTATGTAAAATTTATTAATTTATTAATATTTTATTTTTTAATTAAATTACAATAATACATTTAAAAAAATTATCTAAGAGACTAATTTTGTTAAACGGTTATAATTTTATTTAAATGGATTGTTCATTAAAAAGAAACTACAATTCTTGTAATGTTCTTATTTTTTATTCTATCAAAAGTAAACTTTTGAAGACTCGTAACTTCAAAATTAAAATGTAAAAAAAAAAAAAATCAAATTCAGATTAAGTGCAAGACAAGGAGGGTTGACGAAAAGGGTAGAGTCGTTCAAGATTGGCTGCCAATGTGGAAATATTTCATACCACTTGTATTGTTGATAGAAAATGAGTGATGGACAACAAATGTGGAATCTTTATTCTCCATCACCCATTTTCTTAGGATGCCATTTCAGCAATATCTTGGGTGTCATGGTAACTTAAACTATTTATTTATTTATTTTATTATTATTATTATTATTAAAGTTAAATGTTAGGAAGGTGGTTGGTGCCGAGTCTCAAACCTCCAAGAATCAACATGAGGCATATTAGGATAAACTTACTCTGCCATGATGAACACAAAGAAAGTTGTTGCTTCGACAGTTTAATAAAATACACAGTCAAATTTAAAGATTTAAAGAGCTTGCAATTGTATTACCATTCTCAATGAGATGAGAAAGGGAAGGATTGGAGTCCACCGAACAGACAATAAGTGTGTGAGAGTTCTTACCTCTACAAAATTTGAGGCATGATGTGGTAAATTAGCATATGATATTTTGACATATACTAACTGTTATGTAAAATTTATTAATATTTTATTTTTAATTAAATAACAATAATACATTTAAAAATATTATCTAACAGACTAATTTTATTCGACGTCTATAGTAAAACGGCTAATTTTATTGCAATTATAAAATACGAGTACAATAAAAGTTTAAACAAACAACAATACATTAATTGAAACTAAAATACATTTTTAAAAAACAACAAAGAAAAATAAAATGACAATGCATAATGTCATACTAAAATAAGGGGTAAATTCAATGGCTAGTTTTATCCAACAGCTATAAAACGACTAGTTGTATTCAACGATTATAAAAAAAAACAGCTAATTTATTACAATTATAAAATACATTTTATAATAATAATAGGAATTCATATATCAAAATAATAGGTAAAATTCATTTAGTATACCACTTTTTGATATGCTAAATTTGACATATTTGATGGTATGTCAAATTCCAAGTAAGCTTTTGAAGTATTGGTTGGAGCTACTCTTGATGCCACCTTATGTCATATAAAATTTGATATATTGATTGGAGGATTTCTTAAGATATATCTTTCCTTGATATAATTTTATATTATGACTCGAAAAATTGGCTAATTTTATTTATAATATAATTAATAATTTCCATTACTTACTGTATTGGGAAATGCTAATCTGAATGAATTGTTCATTAAAAAGTAACTATGATTCTTGTAATGTTTTATTCTGTCAAAACTAAACTTTTGCAGAGTCACAACTTAAAAAAATAATAATAATAATATTATTATTATTATTAAAACTTAAAATTAAAGTCAATTGTTGCAACTTGTGTGGGAGTAAAAAAGACTTTGATTGATTCATTTAATAGCATCTAATTATGTAACATGTTTGCACCAAACATACTTGATTCATTTAATATCATCTAATTATGTAGTAGTACGGTTGCACCAAACATTCTAGAGTTAATAGCAAAATATTAGTTGTTAATTTGTTTGCTTCCTCTCCACTCCCCACCCCTTATTAATTTAATTTTTCTGTATTTTCTATTTAACACCTAAGTTCCAACCAAGATCATGTGATTCATACTAGAAAGTCATAAAAATAAATCTGTGTTAACAAGTAATATATATTTGTGAAATTTAATTTATATTTAGTAAACATAAATACTGATGCAATATTTTTTACCTGAAAGTTGAGTAACATTTACACAAATACAATATCAAGGTCAAATTTTTGTACCACATACATCCATCTTTATACATCACACTCAAGCTGTGTGTTAAATAAGTTTGATGTATCATACTCGAGCTATGTGTTTCATAATGAACTTAAATGCTATTATAACATATTTAAACTCACATTCGACTCCAACTATTATGACTAACAAGTCAAAATACAACCTATTGGCAAAAACATTTCTAATCTTATGAGTAGGCTCCATAGAAGAATGTTGAGAAATCTCTAGCAGGACAACTACAGTTCATATGGTGATAGATATATAGAATTTCACAATCATCTTTAGGTACTAAAAGCACTCTTTTTATGTTGCTTGTCGATCTCTGGCACCACCCTTGATACAAGAACACGATTTAATAAGGCCGGTAGGATCATGTGGTTCTACGCTCCGACTTCCGATTTAACTGATACTACTGTGATTCCTACTATGATCCTACTTCCTAGCAATTTTTCTTATGATCGATCGTTTTGGCAATTTGGATTTGTAATTTATGATTCCTGATCGGGATTTTAAGCACCATGAAGATCCACGGGTTTACCATATTACATACAAGACAATAGAATTAATTCTCAAAATAAAATGGTCTGCTCACCTTCTTCTTAACAATCTGAACCACATCCTCATCCTGAAGCACATGGCTGAGGCCACAATGCTGCGGGTAGTGTCTTAATCAAACACTCCAAAAACTCAAATTTTATGCAAAATACCAAGTTATGCCTAAAGAAATGCTAATCGAAATGAATTGTTCATTAAAAAGTAACTATGATTCTTGTAATGTTTTTATTCTATCAAATGTAAACTTTTGCAAAGTCATAACCTTAAAATTAAAATGAATAATAATAATAATAATAATAATAATAATAATAATAATAATAATAAAAACTTTAAAATTAAAGTCAATTGTTGCAACTTGTGAGGGAGAAAAAAAGACTTTGATTGATTAATTTAATAGCATCTAATTATGTAGTTGCACCAAACATGCTTGATTCATTCATTTAATATCATCTAATTATGTAGTAGTACAGTTGCACCAACCATTCAAGAGTTAATAGTGTTAATTTATTTGTTCCTCTCCACTCTCCACTCCCCACCCCTTATTAATTTAATTTTTCTATAGTTTCTATTTAACTTGCAATTTACGAACAATTGGAATACACCTAAGTTCCAACCAAGATCATATGATTCATACTAGAAAGGCATAAAATTAAATCTGTGTTAACAAGCAATATATATTTGTGACATTTAATTTATATTTGGTAAACATAAATACTAATGCAATATTTTTGACCTGAAAGTTGAATAAAATTTACACAAACACAATATCAAGGTCAAATTTTTGTACTCCACACATCCATCTTTATACATCACACTGGATATGTGAATTTTGTCATTATTGGTGGAGACAGTTATGTTGAAGTAGGTTTGATATGTCATACTCAAGCTGTGTGTTTCATAGATGAACTTAAATGCTATAACATATTTATTTTCTCAAAGTAAGAAAGCTGCCCTATTACCTCACATTTGACTCCAACTACGACTAACAACTCAAAATACAACCCAGAGGCTAAAACGTTTCTACTTTTATGAGTAGGCTCCATAGAAGAATGTTAACAAATCTCTAGCATGACAACTAGTTCATATGGTGACAGATATAGACTTTCACAATCATCTTTAGGTACTAAAACTTGTCAATCTCTGCCACCATCCTTGATACAAGAACACCGCACAAAATTGCAAGCTCCCATGTAGTTATGTCTTCAAGGGAGCCTTCTTTTCTCTGTCAGATATTCGAGCAGGGGCATTTGAATGTGATTTGAACCGACCTCTTCCTCCTCCATCGTCCTTCTCCTGGAAAAGCCAAGTTAGAATGTTAACTTTGGGTGTCAACGTGTATGCTCAGTTCGGTTGCAAGAAGGCATTATAAAAATAATAATGATAATAAGAAGAATTCCGTGGGCAAATATGGCAATGACTAATAAAATTCTAAGTTCTATTCCCAGATAACTGAATTCATTTTCAATAGTATTACTGTATAAATAAAAATAAAAAATAAATAAAAAACAGGGAGCAAATGATTTAGGGAACCCTCTATGTTAGCATACATCTAACTGAATTCATTTTCAATAGTATTACTGTATGAACGAACGACTAAAACTATAATAATGGAACATTTGCAGAAAGAACGACATGAAACTGAGATGGAAAAAACAATGGAGGAAAAAAAAAAAAAACAACTAAGTCTCGTTTTATTTTTGTAACAAAGACGGACAAAGAAAAGAAAGAAGAAAATAAAAATTAAGAAGAATAAAGCAAAACTACAGGAAAATTTTAAAGTTTTGATAATTCAGAAGTGGATAGTATCTACCATTGACGTTGGGTCTCTGGTTTTTGTTTCTTATTTAATGCAATTAGGATAAAAAGTTGGGCATTATATTTAAAATGATTAAATTTATTTGCCCAAATGAGTTGTAGGCCAAAATAAATCCAGAAGAATAACAAAAAACACGATTTAATAAGATCGGTAGGATCGTGTGATTCTACGATCCAACTTCCGATTCAACTGATCCTACTGCGATCCTACTTCCCAACGATTTTTCATGTGATCAATCGTTTTGGCAATTTGGGTTCGTAGATTCGTAATTTACGATTCCTGACCGGGATTTTAAGCACCATGAACCAGAGTGCATCCACGGATTTACCATATTACATACAAGACAATAGAATTAATTCTCAAAATAAAATGGTCTGCTCACCTTCTTCTTAACAATCTGAACCACATCCTCATCCTGAAGCACATGGCTGAGGCCACAATGTTGCGGGTAGTGTCTTGCACTTATGCCCCACACTAGCACATATTTCACATCCTTCACCAGGCTTCTGTGTATGTGGTTACAGAAGTCTTCAACTGTGCAGCCACCTCTATCCTAAAATCACATAACAAAAATAAAAAAAAAACACATATTAAAAAATCGGAAGAGAAAGATAACTATTTCCATCAAAATAAATTCGTGAAATGACATGAGGATATGTTACATACAGCAGAAAGAACGACAGGATCAGTGAAATCAGGTTGCTGGCCCTGTGGTTTTGTATAAACTCTAACAAGCCCCATCTCCTCCCACATCCTTGCAAGCACTCTGTCTAAATTCAGCTGTTTAAGCAGCATAACAAGAGAAGTTCAATTACCTAGACAACAATATAAATCCGAATATACTGATCTGCCTAAAACCACAGTATCTACATATATTTTCTGGCTTGTAATGCACATGAGATATGCAGAATCATGCTTCATATGGAAGAAAAACTACAGAAAAGTTAACAAATGCACTGTCATGCCCTGTCTGAATGTAATAGGTCTGTACATGTCATATAGGTTCAGTTTTTGCACAAGTCCCTTGCTAAAACCAAGAATTAACTAATTTGACTCTGGTGCATACTAAGTGGAAATTTGAAGTGTAAAACCTGCCTTCAAATTGCAGCTAATGACAACAGAATTTGGTTGTCGTGCTAATTTGTCCACATCATCAATACCAATAACATCAATCTTGTTGTAGACATATATACACTTCATGTATTTACGATTCCCCTCAATAACATCTATAAGGTCATCCACTGTAGCATCTTCACGAAATAACACCTACACAGCATCAATAACAAAAAGGGGGGGAAAACATCAGCAAAAGAGCACCTTTTACTTCAGGTAATTATCAAATAACTTGGAAAACCTTGATACTTAACCAAGTCAAGTATATTCCCAGTAAAGTTTTTCGACAAAGTAATTCATTATCTGACTGTGCAAAATAGTGCAATTATTATTCCTCCAGCTATGATGTCAATTATTAGTTCTCTAGCAAATTACATTAATAAAAATGCTGAGACTGAATACCTCTGCATTGTGAATCTTGTATTCATGTAGAATTTGATAGCAAAGCTTCTCATCAACATGAGTCAACGGTGCCGTGCTGTTGAAAGAAATACCCCCCGTTTTCTTCTTCTTGAAATATATCTGCCAATAAAACACGAGAAAATGAATAAGTAAGACAATTCGAGGGTCTGAAATTCCTTACAAAGAAATTGAAGGAAGAAAAAAAATTCTGTTGATAGATAAAACTTATTAAGCCACATACATCAAATTAAGTTTTACCTGGAGGAGCTCGAAAAGCTCAACTGAAGTGATTTTCTCCATAGTATACAAAAAATTACCATAAAGCAATGCATATGCCATAAGGGTAAGGAAAAGTTCCCTACAGGGCCTACACATTAGCACTTTGGGAGAACTATTTAGGTGGAATCTGAACCAGACTCGTGAACAGGGCAAAGGAAGAGGTTCACACATTTTCTAGAAGCGGTCAATTTATAAATATTTTGAGCATAACCATTCAGGAAGAAATTCATAGCCATGGACAATCCAAATTTTCAGAACTAGGGAATCAGTATTTCACAAATTAGAGGAGATGTTTTCAGGAATTGTTTTCGGTAGAGGAAAAGCAGTGCAAGTCAAATTATGGAGAAAAAGCACCAGAACATGTGCTTTAATGCTGTATAATTAGAACTACATCAATAATTTCAAATCAACTTAAGTACTAAAAGATAGCATTTGAGACTTTCATACAATATTCAAGAAATTAATTGCCAAACTTAAAAAATGATCCGTGGTTTTCTTGCTTTATATTTTTTTTTATAAGTCCTGGTTTTTTTTACTTTATTCACTAAAAAAGGTCATGTAAGCTTGTAGAAAAGGATGGTTAAGATACAAAATTTCAAAATTTTAAAGAATCCTGTTCCAAAAAAGCAAAATACAAGCTTGAAGTTAGGGACTAAAAAATAAGAAAGTGAGCCCACTACTTTAGTTGGCAGAGACGTGCTTTTTATATTAGATAAAGTATTATAGGCTATCAATGGCATGACACATTACTTGGGGCGGTCTCTTATTCAAACGCAGGCCTACAGCTTCCAGCTCCTTGGTCAATATTTGCCGATGTCCCTCGCTCTGTAAGAAATTTTCAATTAGTTCACAATTACAGCAAGCAAACAAGAAAGAAAAACTATAATATATTACTATGAAAACATAAAAAATAATATATTCCACAAAATTTTAACTTGCGACACAACATATTGGTAGAGTAGAAGGCAAATGAGAATTCTTTTGAAAGGTTCACGAAGCAGCAAGAATAAAGTGAAGAAGAAACTCCAGAAAAGAAATAAAACGTGAATCACAAAGGAAAATTGAATACTTGTTTCCTTTATTACCATGTATATGAATAAAGCAGTGCCGGAGACGCATAAGGACGAGTGGGGGCAGTTGCACGCACTCAATTTTTGTTTTATTCTAATTTCGTACCTATAATTTTTTTAAACTGCTAACATGCCCCACTTCAAAATTATCAAAACAAAAGGTAAGAAAAAGAAAAGCATTGAGTCTCACTCTTTTTTACACTCAATCTTTTTCCAAGGCTAATATGATAAGAGAAAATTATAAAAGTCTTCTTTCAGTCTACTCCTCAACCCTAAGCCAACAGGTGAAAATCCTCAATTCCCTTTTTTCAACAAATCTCACCCCTCTGAGCAAAATAGATATCTCATTTTAGATTACAAAATAAAACGCTAAAGATTTTGTTAACATCAATAGATTGGATTTTTTTTTTTTTAAGTAATTGGTTCAAATAATTAAAACACAATTTACTGGGATTATTTCATGATATATCAAAACAAGATATCATACAACCTTCAAACATGAAAACTAGTCAAGGACAATCATCAATGGATATGTTTTTGTATTAATTATTTTGGTAAAGAATATCGTTGCCCCCACTAAATTAAATCCCTGGCTTTGCCACTGTAATAAAGAACAAGAACTTGCATCAGAGATAGCACATAGTTATACCACCAACAATAGGTGCCATTTTCCCATTTACAAGATAATCAGAACACCATCAGTGAGATAGTACATAGTTTTTCTTCTCTTTTTTTTTTTTCTTTTTTTTTTCTTTTTTTTTTTTATATATATACAAGAAATAGAGTTTTATTCAATCATGAGGAAAATCCTTGGAGTACGCATTTACAAACCATAGAGGGCACTGGGCACACATCCCATTCAGGATACATGAACCACAATTTTCCCATTTCGCACTTGCATCAGTTTTTTTTTTTTTTTTTTCCCCTCTTGGCAAGAAACTCACACACACCCATTGGCACTTATGGGGACTTCAACCCATACATCTTATTTTGGGAGGTTGAGGAAATACAATTAGGCTACACCCAGGGAAAAAAAAAAATTCCATTAGGCTGTACCCTTGGTCACACCCACATCAGTTTAAAATCTAAACCTCTTCGATCAAAAATACACACATCATCAAAAACCCCAGAGGAAAACTCATCTGCATGTTGCAAAGTCATCACAATCTTGTTATCTCCTTCAACAACTTGATGATGTGTCTTGATTAAATATTGACATCACGTATGTGATAGTACAGCAAAATACTTTAAAAGGTGATATCAAGTCTTCAGGCATATTTACCAAAGGGCCAAATGGCCCAGCGGTACCAAGGCCCAGCCTTCCAAAAGGAGGTCCTGGGTTCGAACACCGGTGGAGGCGTGTGTGTGAGTTTGCTTTACCATCCCAAAAAATAAAAACTTATCAAAAAAAAAAAAGTCCAGGCATATTTCTATTCTTTTTCTGTGCCTAGCATGCAAAAATATGGGACATCATCAAATTTACTAATTGATTTATAAAAAATAAAAATAAATGAAGGGGTTAAATGCTTGTACAATTACAGATTTTACAACATGGTTGAAAACCTAGTTCAACAAAGTTCATGTAATAAAGTGGATTAGAAAAAAAATCTTAAGATGAAGGAGTTGATAACTAAGATGGTTGTATCAGGTCAAACTCCTTTTAATGGCAACATTTTAACAAGAACACAAGCCAGTATTGAAATGTCAAGCCCCCAGGATCTCAATTTCAAACTAGTAACATGACAAAGGCTATGGAGCATCTAAACATATTAACAATAATTATCATAACATCACCAAATAAAAAATAGAAGCATGCTTTTTCTGTTCCCTGATACTATCTGTTACTTTTTAGATTTTTTAGAGAGTGAAATAATATGGAGCAATGAAGAACGCAAATTAAAAAGAATCCATGTGTGGCTTACTGACCTAATCAGGATTAAAATACAATTAATACACCTACAAGCATTAGTAGAAAAAACACTGCTATTACAAAATGGACACTTACTTTTGAGGCATCAAGAACCATCAACACAATGTCAGATGATTTGGAAACAGCAATAACCTGAGATTGGAAAACAAAATTTATTGTAAGGTTTAATGTAAAAGAAAGAATGATATAAAAATGCAGCTCTCGTCTCAGGAATGTTATCCACTCAAATATGACAGAAGATAAATAAGGAAATTGATCAATAATCTTTATACTAAAGAAAAACAACATGAAATAGTATAAAACAAATAACAGAAAGCAAATGAAGCTTTTACCTGCCTACCACGTCCCTTCCCTTCCGAAGCACCTTCAATAATTCCAGGAAGATCGAGCAGTTGAATTTTAGTATCATTATAGTGAATAATCCCTGGAATGCAAGTAAGTGTTGTGAACTCATATGATGCAGCTTCTGAATGTGTTCCCGTCAAGAGCGTTAAAAGAGTCGACTTCCCCACACTGAAAACATGTAAAAGTCACTGAAAAAGGTGTATCCCATAATAGATTCAACCTCGATGGTACTATTCTAATGCATTTGTGCATCTTTGGCAGAATAGGGAGAAAGAAAAGACAGGTTCTGGTATTTTCTAACCCAAGGCAAGTGCAGTCGACAATTGGCAAATCATATATACACACATTTCTAAAAAAGTATTGTTCTCCAATTTGTAGCGTATCAACTAAAAACACTTGGAACTTGGGCCTGCCACCATGACCATGACAAGCATCAACTCAGAGAAAGCTACAAAACTTTCAATTAGCTAAAGTTTGTACCTCCGGCAATGGGACATGTGGCAGAACATTAATCTATTTCATTTCTTTTATTCCTAAAGTAAACATTTGGTCCTTTTTTTTTTTTTTTTTTTTTCACTTTCAAAGAAGACGCACATATCCAGGTGACCAATATGACAGACCTTGGGAATCCTATTAGGGCAACACGTCCATGTCCAAATTTTGTAACTTCAAAGCCCTCTCCAGCTCCACTCGAACCCTGGTTCATTAACATCATCATACTCACAAGCACAAAAGTACAACTTAAGTTCAAAATATTCTTGAAAGAAAAAGAAAGTGCACAATCAATCTATTAAAATCTAACATCTTTACAAGAAAGTGCAGATCAACCACAACAAAATCGTAACAACTTGCATACTTTTGGAGGCTCCAATAATTGTGTCCTCAGTTTTGCTATCTTTGCCTTGAGCTGACCAAGATGATACTCTGCGTATTCAATAGTATAAAATGAATCTCGCAATTTGCACTAAGTACTAAGAAATAAATTTGATTTTTATTTGAGAAGAGTAGAGATATGTAACACATAATGAAATGGAATTTCTAAAATCAAGTAAGACTATAAGAGATTGACAGTGGCATGCAGACATGACACAAAGAAAGCCAAGAATTCAGAGGAATATTAAGCAATAAGCAATTGATCCTTCAGTAACAATAAATTAAAGCAACAATTTTTATGAGAGAGAGAGCGAGAGAGAGTAATATACTTTTCACTCCAGCATCCACTTGCAGATACAATAGTAAAAACTACAACTAGTACAGTGCAAATAGATGAAGACTTGGATAAAAATGAAAATGCTGCTGGACTAAACAAGGAACCTGTGGCTTTATTTTTCTGGGTCCGAGCCATCTCGGCTTCAATTTCTTTAATCCTTTCTATGATCCCCATTTTTCCGTGAGTTTAGCTCTGAGAGAGAGAGAGAGAGATGAGAGAGATGAGTTTTACAACTAGAAATCATGCAAATTTGATAACCAAACCAAATTAATGTTATAAAATAATAATCAATAGCCAGAAACACATAGCAAAGAGAAGCTAGAAAACTGAAAGCTAAATAACCACATACAAATGCAAACAATAAAGTAAGACAAAATCATACAAAAGTTGAGTGCTCCAAAATCATAAGAGTTCAGTGCTCGTGAAAGATTAAATTAGTTAAATCAGTTATATTATTAAGAACAAGGGTAATAAAGTTCTACAACTCTGGTAAGGATTTTTTCAAAAAAAAAAAAAAAACCGTATGATACACCTAATAATCAGCCAATAGGCCCACTACAAAAATATTTAACGAGAAAAAATTAAGTAAACATTCCAAGCAATATCTAACAAGAATATATATCTATATACTTCTAGCAAGGTGCTATAAGCACATATTGTTGACTTTAAGAGAGAATCAAAACACGAGTAAAGTAGAAGATGATAAAGAAGAAGAGAAGAAAGACAAGGTGAGAGAGAGAGAAATGGGGAAAGAGTGAAAGAATGAATAGGATAGTTTCATCCCTCCACCACATTCTATTTATACGAAGAAGTTTCAGAAATTACACATAACCACCCTACATTATATAAGTAACAACAAATAAGCCCCTTATAACACATATAACTTCTAGCAATTGAAGAGCTAAAACATTCACATTGAAATGGTAATAACAACAAAAAGTATGCCCAATTTTCTCCTCAAGCCATAGGGCTGCAAATGAACAGACCTGTTTGCGTACAGGTTAGGCTTGGCTCGATAAAAACTCAGTTCGTGTTCGTTTTCTTAGTAAATGATCAGAACTCAAAAAAGTTCGATTATTAAACGAGTCAATCTCAAACCCTCAGCTCGGCTCATTTGTTCGTAAACATATTTGTGAACAAACTCATCAAATGGCTTGTTTAAAGCTCTTGTTTTATTTACATATATCTATAGATATAATATTATATAAGTTTAGGTAACCATTAATTTTGATTTTTACTTAAAGACTAAGCCCAAGCCCAAGCAACCTAACCCAATTTCATCTCTTTCAAACTAAAACAGCCCAAGCTCATCTATGTATTCCCAACCCATCTGTTACTCATTATAACACCTAAATCCCTAATCTTTTATTATCTTCTCTCTCCAACCTTAGCCATAGAACCCTAGTTCGTGACAGCAGCTACTTGATTTGGAAGGTGCCTTTGAATTGTGGAATTGAAGATTAAGGTGAAGATCTATAATCGAGCCAAGATATGTAGCGATTTCTTCCACCAAGTACTTGTATGACCGCTGGACACATATATGTCGAACATACACCTGCATAGACACAGATTATATGCGGTTCTCTGTGATATGGATAACGAGCTCAACCAAGCAGCTGGAGTTCGCTTGAAAACTCTCGAGCCGAGAGCGATCTTGGCTAGCAAAAGCTCGATCAAACTCAAGCAGAGCTTGATCACCCCTTTGGGGTTGACGAGCAAAGTCCGAACACCCCAATACTCGGCTTGTTTACAGCCGATCAAGCCATCATGTACACTCATCAAAAATAGTAGCAGAATTATACTACAGGGAGAATAATCATTGATAATTTTACTAAAAGGTACAGAAGAGAACCATAAAAAAGTGAGCAAACCACTTCTTGGATGGTGCATAGCCAAAATACGACACTTCAATAACCTTCCAAATAGATATTAAATTTTAATTCGCAAGATAAAATTAGACACTTCCATCGGTTAGATTACTCATAGTTCTGGAGCTTTTCAAAAAGCAGAACTGCCAAACAAGGAAGCTATAAAAAATAAAATCAAAATTAAAAAAAAAAAAAGTATGGGTTAAGGAGGCGAGAGCAGACATGATATCCAACTATTGAATCTGAAATATGGTCTTACAAGTACAACTTAGTGTATCTGACACACATAGATTGTCAATTTGATTAGAATAATAGTATTTCAATCAAGAGGGTAAAACCACCTGACAATGACAAACAAACAAGCACCGGAAAAACTCACTGTGGTTCCAGAGATGTATATATCATCTGTTTTCAAAACATAATGAGATAAGATCAAACAAGAACTCAAGAAAAACCTAAGACTTAGCCTAGAGACAAGGAATGACGAAAGCAATAGAAAGCTAGAAGATGAAATCCAACTAGACTAACAGAGAGCTCAAGTAGAGGAAGACAATGTTCTCTCTTTATTCTCTTGAGAGGCAAGGGAAAGTAGGTTTCGTCCTTCGGGCAGAAAACCTGGCTGGTATACACTTCGCAGAAGAAACTGGGGCTACGGGCATTCCTATTTGTCTTAGTAAAGCCACAATGAGAATAATTATCAGATGGAACAATAAAAACAAGAAGGAACTCCGTTTTTCATTCCCAAAATTTGAATTAATAGCTAATTTGTTCTCAGAATTAACACAATGTTATTACAAAAGAAATAAAATAACATGTAAAAAAGTAATTAATAACAAATACCTCAGGTAACTAACTCCTTCAGACGAAACAAGAGTTCAAAACTCTATCCGCTTGCGGCAGAACCTGCAATCCAAAGCGCATGAGCACAAGAAGTCAATATATGTATGTATATATGTAAATATTTTGCGCAAAATGCAATAATGAAAATAAAAAATAGAAAAAAACAGAGACCATAACTATTTATATATATGTTTGGATAGAACACTAAGAAAACGAAGATAAATGAGAAATGAAAACCTCTGTGCGTTCAAATTATTTTGCAATTGCAATCACTCAGATAATTTCTAAATTAATTGTTCAGATTTCCATATTGAAACATTATTAATAACAGGAAACTGTAAAGAGAAGAAATTCATGAAAAAAAAAATTGGGGTTTTAGGGAACAATCTAAAGTCTCTGGTCAGAGAGATAAGTAAAGTTGGTGGTGTGAGAAGTTAAAAAGTATTGAGGGTGCAATAGAACTAGACGTTATGTATAAGGAGATAGAGAGAAGTCTAGAGAGAGAGAGTGTGTCTCGCAGAAAATGAAGTAGATGTGATGAATTATACATATATACGTACCTGGATTGAGATCGGGTATGAGGAATCGTTGTACTGACGTTGGATGTTCGTCAGTTGCCGATTGCCGGCGAAAAGATGCGCCGTCGCCGTGCAAGTTCAGAGTGAGAGAGAAAGATGAGGGGAAGAAGAAATAATCCCGACCCACAGTATTATGGAGAAAGGGATCTAAGGAAAAAAAAAAAAATCAAAATATAAAATATAAAAATTAAAATAACCTAAACGACGACGTCTTGAGCTGGGTTCTGGCTAATACATTCTGAATTCCTCTCGCCCCCAACCGAACCAAATGATGCTTTTCTTCTCATTCTTCTTGCCAGATTTCAAAATCTTAATTTCTGAATCTTATGAAGAAAAAAAATAAAAATAAATTTGAATACTTTCTCTCACTTGTTCTCTTTTCTTTATTTTTTTTCTTCTCATCCTTTTGAGGATTTCAAAATTATTCAATTTGAAATTCTGATGATTAATTAGTGATGGCATGTTGCCATGTTGTGGGATGGGAACATATTATTAATTCTTAAGGGCAAATTTCGTAAAACCCTCTAAATTATCAATAAGTGATCATAAAACTTCAACCAGTTTTTAAAACCCCCAACAATATAACAACGTTATTATTTTATCACAACTCTGTCAATTGGCCGTTAATGGTATGTGAAATGACTAAATTACCCTTATTATATTTCCTTTTATTTAAAAAATCAAAAAATCATATTTTTAAAACTGAATGAGAATAGTCTACACCACCGGCACCTCTGGACTCATGATGAAAGCCTTACCCTCCAACTGCTTCCCAACGGCATTTGTTCGCTAATTTTCCTTCTCCATTGATGACCACAGATTCGGACTCTGGCTTTGACGACTCCGAAGCTCCTATCCCAAAAGCTTGTCAAGCGAAACCACCAAATGATAGTGAACCATTATGGCCAAATTCACATAATTTTAATTTCAGTCAAATTTTTAAAATTTTTAAGCATTGACAGAATATAAACAATAAGAAAGCAAAAGGCAAAAGTGAAATCTTTGAGAAACAAATCAAGAGATCTTCCTTGTGAGAGAGAGAGATGGATGAAGAGGGAAGGGATTTTGGGTTTTTGAGTGGTGATTGTGTGGACATGAGCCTAGTGTTCGGTGCTCACTTCTTGGAACGCATCATGATTTGTGGTCTTTTGTGACAAGATCAACAGGTTGCGGTAGAAAGCCCATCAAAGGGCTCGCGACGTCACCACGGTAAATTCATCGCCGGTTTGATCACCATCTCCGGTAGAACCTGTAGGGTCATGGGCATCATGGTGTTATCACCTTAGGTCCGCCTACCTGAACCGTGACTTTTGCAAAGAAATCAACGCCATTTGCAGCAGAAAGCCTATCTACGGGTTCGCCGGCGAGAGCTTCATCCAAAAATACACCAGTGCCGATACTCCCTTCATGACAAAACCCGTTCCAGAAATGAGCAGATGATGGTCCTTTGGTTGTGACGACTTCGGAAGGTTGCAAGCTTGTCACCAGATATCAGCTCATGTAGTTCCCGGAAGCTCGTCTGCTGTTCTTCACCAACATTCACATGCCGGGGTATTTTCGTCACAAAAGTCAATTTGTCAAAGCATTTGTTCAATACGCGCTGGGTTAACGGGGCCAATTGCCAGAGTTGGGGTAAAATGACAACGTTGTTATAATGTTGGGAGTTTTAAAAACTGGTTGGGGTTTTATGATCACTTATTGATAATTTTGAGAGTTTTACGAAATTTGCCTAATTCTTTATTGTAGGTGTCAAAATAATTGATATAATAAATGTATTATATGGTGAATAGATTGTAGTGGGGTTTATCTGTCTATTCAGGGCTTTCCAAAGCAGAAAGAATAGAAGAGATCACTTGGAACGTCAAAGCTACCATTAGGTCCATGACAAATCCAGTAATTAATTGGGTTAGCAACTGAACAGCCCCAATTATGTCAGTCTTAATAGAAAAATGCCTCTGAGGTTTTAACCCTGCAATAATAACAGATTCCCAAAAACATTTAGTAATCCATCTTCTGGATATATGTTTCCATCTCGGGTAAGGGAGACGGTAACCTCGGATCTTCCTACTTGAGACGGTAACCTCGGATCTTCCTAATTTTGGATGACATCTCGCCCCAATCATCCATCAGGTAAGCACCACCATCAACAATTGGGAGACCCAAGAGTCATCATGCACACTGAATATTCTAGAATTTTGCTCAACCATAGGATCTTTTAAGTTTGAGTGCTTGCCATCAGACACAAGTTTTATTTTTAACAGGTTTCAACTTACAAGTTCCGAACAGATGTGCCCAAATTTTTCAAACACAAACACACACACACAGAGTACCCTACTAACTGAAACACAGTTCAAATTTGACAATTTAGATTCAAAAATGGGCACATAATTTGCAGACGTCAAAGTTGCAGTGACAAATATGAGGATAAAGCTACAAGCTAAGACTTCTAGAAATCAAAAGGAGAATGTGCTATATACAACTGTCAAGAGCACTTGAAGAAGTCACCAAATGGGATGGCCATAATGCTATATCATGAATGACTAACATGTATATACCCAGATTGCCAAATAGACTGCCCCATCATAGTTAACTCCTTCATCGCAAAATTGGGTATGTATTGTGAAGCGAACAAGCAACAGCTATGAACTCTTTAAGACCCGACAATAAATAATTCGAGAACCAGTTGTTTCAGACCACCTCAAGGTATACAAAATAGATAGCGTACGCGGAGACATGTAGAAACTTAACAGTTAAATGCTACAAGTTAACCATAAACAAAAAGGACTAACTAGGAGGCAATCTTAAACACAGTATACAGTTATAGTGTTCCTTATTTCAATTTATGGACTGTGCTATGTACAACACTACAAGAACCACTACAAGAACCCTGGTCTTGCTTCATTTACACTTCTACCACTACACCCAACAAATTTGCCTGAGCTAAGATGTGGTTCCACCTCTGCTTGCATTTCAGCAAGTTCTCTCACCCGCGACAGAATCGGAGCAGGGATTGGCATTGAAGCATGTTTCCGGGAATTTTGCATCTGCATGTTTACCATAGAAAGAAATTCTAAAAAAGGAAACCACAAAATAAACATAATTAAAACCGCCATGTTTAAATGAAAAGAATATAACCAAATTTAGTTAGAAAAATTAATGCCACATTCATCTCTACTGTTGTATCCCTTTGAAAGTTTCACTCGAATTTCTGAAATTTTCAGAAGCCTGTCGAGTAGGAAATTGCAACGTGCAAAGCAAACTTTGTCACATGTGAACTATACCATGCCTAAGGGAAAGAACAACTAAAAAATCCCACAAGTATTGCACACGTGTTTCCAAAGAGTTCAAAGAAAGCATGCATTCCAAGAGTAGGTGAACCCTAGGTAAGTAACTGCTAATATTAGTGCCTAAGAAGAGAAACAAGATTAAAAAGAAAAATCAGTAATAATAAAAAATGACCTCAGGTATAATGACATTATGGGAATCTTTTTCCAACATCATCACCTATGCAATACAAGAAAAATATCAAAGTAACAGAATATGTTGACAGTAATTCTCAGATAAGGATGATTTTTGTTAATTTGAGTGAATAGTTTACCACCAATTGAACTACATTTTCTTTAACTATCTTTATTTGGATGAGCCCACATGCAGCACATATTTTTCTTCAGTACTAAATCTGAGCGTAATTCCAATCAACAACAAAAGCATGAAAAGAGAACCACGCACACTCATACACAAAAATTACTCACATCTTTTTCTGCAGGCACCTGCGCAAAGCTAGCTCTCAGCAAATTCCTCCACTTGTCCTACAAAAGGATAATTTGATCTCAGCCTAATTACCTCTAGCGCAAAAACGAGTCCTGTATCTAGTACCTCACATCTCTGAGCAAATATATTAGTTCCATATGAATTTATGTTGGACCACTAAAATAATCAAACCTGTCAGATATATACCTTAAGGTCAACTGAAGTTCGGTATGTATAGGAAGCGAATGCAAGCCGTTTTATCTCAGACCACCTACCAGCACCATACCTGGCTACACCATCAACAAGCTTCACAACCTCAGAAAGAGTCCAAGGTCGATGATGTTTCCTTCTCATTCCACCTTTTGCAGTGGGCACAGTTTTTACGTTATCATCTGAATTATCCCCACAAGAAGTCATTTGTTTCAGCTCCACATCTTTCTCCAACTCGGCTGTTTTTCTTTCCAAGTACTCCTTATCTTTCTTCAACTCAGTCATAAGCTGGGCAAATAAGAACATTCCAATAGCACTAAAAAATTTAATATCCATCAGTTTTAACAAATAAAAATATAGCAACCTGAACCTGTGTGAAATTTGAACCAATCATACTAAAAACTCGACCAATCAAGTAAAACCCAAACCTCGTTAGAGATCCAACACAATAGAATTTTCAAAAAGATTCCATTCAAATTTGATCCAAGTCCCGTTCTATTTAGTTTAAAATCCTCAGACTTTCCATCAATGCTATATCTTTGCAATTTTACTCCATACATACCTTTCAAATTGTTTGATACAAGTCTTTCAAAAATGTAAATAAATATAGCACCTGTACGGTGATAATACATAGAATGTGGACCCGTTACAAAGCACAAAATAGAATTTAAGTATGTGATAGGTGTAACACTTTGAAATATATCATGGGGGAATAAGATAAGTTAGAATCAAATGCATGCAGCAAAATAGATGATGGAGAAATAGAAAAGAAAAGTGAATCAAGATAACATCACGTTCTAAAAGCACGGCTTTTATATAATTTTAGAACCAATCTTTATGTCACCACTAATTTCATATTTATACAAGTCAATTGTCGATTGTGCATTCTCAGCATTAACCCTTGCTAGTTGATATAAAATTCCAAAATGATATTACTTCGCAAATCATTACCCTATTATAATACCTTGATACAAAGGAAAATTGAAGGCATTACCGAGTCTATGTCCTGCCTACACACTTTAACATTGGTATTATGTACAAAATAGCTACTCTAGACTCAAACTCATGAATCACGCTTGACAGTTCAAACTTTTACTATTGCATCAAGAAATGACCCCTATATGACGGAAACTAAGAAGATACACTCTAGCTCATAGTCCTATATTTTGGAAAGAAAGTGTACCGTATTTTGTACTGCAACATCTAAATTGCAGATAGTGAATGTGAATCCGTGGATCATATTCTTGCATTGTCCTGTGGCATGTGATTGTTGGAGTTTTATTTTTTGCATGTTTGGCGTTTTTTGGGTAATGCCTAAGCACTCCTCACAATTGATTAACGCTTGGAGAAGTTGTCATGTTAAAGAACAAGCTCGTGATTATTGGAGGATTGTTCCACATTGTGTCTAGTGGTGTTTGTGGCGTGAGAGAAATAACAGATCCTTTGAAGGAAAAGAATCGTCTTTAGCTAATTTAAAATTTCATATTCTTCGTTCTTTGTTCCGTTATGTAAGAGGAAACGCATGCTCCTCGATTGATGATTTCTTTGATCTCTTGGATACTATTGGTCCTTAGATTTTTTTTCTTCTTGTATTAGGGACGCGTTCCCCTTTTGAACGTTTTTCTAATATATTTTTACTTATCAAAAAAAAAAAAAAAAAACCATTTTTTTCTAATTTTTTTTAAATATGCTTGCAAGCCCTCATCCATAAGATATTTCTATCATGCTTCATGGGTCTCATTATGCATAATCAATGCAGGTCATACATCACCGAAACATGCAATACTGTTGTTACCTTGAAAGGCAAACAACCATAGAATATAAAGGTAATTAGCATTATCAAATGGCTTGGCCCTTCAAAATTTATAATTTATTGCAAGATCTGAAGCTTAATCAACCAATCAAGTAGAGGATTATACCCAAACAATGACATAGATGGGACAGGAATGGGTTTAGGCCAAGGGCCATTAACGAGATGCACCAAGACAAACTCTATTTAACAAAACATGACTCAGTGTTCCATTCAAAAAGCAATACATAGAAATTTCATTATCAAAGACATGCAACATTTATCAGGAGAATGGTTAAAATGACATTATGTGACATGTATATAATTTGACTTACAGGTTGTTGAATCCATCCAGGGGCCAACCTGGCCTTAAAAAGGCCATTCCCTCTTTCATTATTTGGTCGCGGACCACGTACACCAATGGCCTTCTTTACCAGTTTGGCTGCCATGTCCATTCGCATGCCACTAGGTTGGAGCTTCTACAGAGTAAAATATAAAGCACATCAATCACTGCATAATAGAATGATTTCCACTAGTACATTATTTTTTCTATCATAAAAACAAGCTGAGTAAAAAAAAGAACCATTGAATCAATAATCACTGGCTTTCTATCATAAAAACAAGATGGTTAAGAAAAAGAACCATTGAATCAATAATCACTCGCAATTTTTCATACAAGAGTGGACATTATCAACTAATTTTCCACATAGATTGATCAGATATACAGAGATCAAATCACTGAGATCCACATTTCACAATAGATAAATTAGGATCTTTGAGCAGAATACGCTGAGCACCAAAATCTGCCATTTTTGTACCTATCATAAAAGAAAAAAAATCTTGTTTTAGTGAGGTACAACTGTACAATTCTGCTTTAAAATCCCTAACAATTTCAACACAGATGCCCCCTTATGCTGCAATAATCCAAGTTGCAGCTCCACGAGTCTGCTCAAAACCAGTCAATTCCTGAGCCATTCATTCTCCCCCCTCGGTGTTTTCCAGCCACTAGAGCAAGTAAGAGGAAACACATGCATAGTTAAAGAGCTTAAGAAAATTATACAACTCCCATATGCTAACCATCATTACTTATCAAAAAAAATATGCTAACCGTCATTAATAATGCATATTGTCATTAATAACACCGATATATAACTGGAAATCATGGTCAGCAAAGAAATGAAACCTATAATAAGCATGGTGCAAATATGCAATAATATAATGATCACTAGGAATAAATTATGTACAAAAGTGGACAGCATTGAGAAGAGAAAATCTCAGTGGACTAAAACGAGTCCATAAACACATCCGTCGAGGAAGTGGCAGCCAAAAGCAAGGAAAGATACTGCATAAGCTGAATAATAACTTGAGTCAATATATAATAACCGTTCTTGTGTATGCTTAAGGCAACACATGTTTCAAACAATGGGAACTCATCTTAAGCTCGGTATACATTACAGTAATTTACATATCGATAGGGAAAGCACATTCAAAGGTAGAGAGTAGTTACAAATAGAACTTAATTAGACCCACAAAGCTAGATAAGTATACAGAAATTTACACTGTAAATAACAGAGTAAGTTCGTACCAAGAAGGTAGACGACGTAAGATAAAAAATTGAACAGATGGAGATGGTGCTGTGAAATCACTATTTTAAGAGAACAGATAACTAATCATCCAAATGCAAAACATACGCAAGTATGATCAGGGAAAAACATATCCAAAATGAATAGAATACAGCCAACCAACAATGAAGCTAAATCATAAGCATGTCATCAGCGGAAATCATAAACCCAAAGTGGATAGTACTACTAACAAATTACCCCACAACATGAAAGGAACAGCCTGTCTGGTTATAACACCGTTGTTATTAATTGCCACTTCAATGTTATTCACATAAATAGTTTACAAGAGTGAAGAGAAAGAAAACTAGTGTTATGCTTAGGAGACAGAATATACTGCTCATACTAGTTGCCACTACATTTCATAGGAGTATTATATTGCTCAAAACTGGGTTGGGTGTTTGGGGGGGGGGGGGGGGCCGCGGGGGGGGGGGGGGGGGGGGGGGGGGGTGTGGGTGTTATATTGACTCCTCCCTCCCTCCCCTTTTTGGTTTTGCCACGCTCACAGCCACTTAAATTTTTAAATTTTGGTTCCTTTAACTTCTAAAAGAAGCATTTTGAGTAACAATCTCTGAAGTTCACACCAGGGTACAAGGGCTTCCTATGCCTTCAACTGAGTAAAGTCTTGTGAAATAAAACATCCCAATCACATTACAAATATAGAGGAGTGTCAAGATTAAGAGATGCAGGGGAGTTTTTGGATTGTATATTGAGTTGACAACTATAATCATCCAATATATCACTTACCGCAATATACACCTAATCTTATTTGAGTGATTCCTCTCAGATAAATTCAATATATCACGCGACATAACAACCAACATTACAAAATCTTGCTAAAAGGCATGGACCTGTTACTATACCACCCAATGCAACCTCTTCTCTTTGGCAATGCAAAATTACTAATGTATTTCCTTCTCTGTAAGAAAGAACCTATGTCATCCTTTCCTTTTCAAAATTTGCAATTCAACCAAAAGTGAAAGACCAAAAGGCAAAAATTTTGAATAAAAATATTGAAAAAAAAAAAAATGGCATGAGACAAAAGTTAACAAAGTCAATCAGCATCAAATAAACACAAGTTGCCTATGAATATAGATATTTTTCTTTCTTCTATTCTTTTTTTCCTCCTCCTTTCAGCTTCTTCCTATAACCTAGAAATTGGTTTCATCCAGATTAAGCAAATCGACATCGTTTCTACCTTGATAGCCTTTACAATGCCGTGGGCGAGCTTGTCCAGCACACAAACAACAGTTGTGGCTGAGAATTTGATGATTTATAGCATGTTAGCAACCAGTCATCTTTTATAGCCATCGATATTTACATTTCTTTCTTAGAGGCATGCAAGTCCTATAAACTCCATCCATTGCCTCAACTACGGCAACTTACTCGCTAAAGTTTTTCACTTGTTTTTGTTAGGAATTGTGTCTCAAACTCCTCTTCTAATTAGGTTTCTATTAAGAGTTGTATTTTATTGGGCTCCAAGAAATTGTAATCCTTGTCCAACAAGGAATTGGGTTTTGGACTCTATAAAAAGATACCTAGGTTATGAGTTGAGACTGATGAGAAGGAGAGACATGAGGAAGTTGATGGGTAGAGCCATAATTCTATAGTGGAGGGTGGGAGCCCCATGAGGGAGTTGATGGGTAGAGGGAGTTTACTAGTTGGGCCAAGCCACGTTATAACTTGTGCTTTGTGTATGATTGCTTTATTGCTTTTTGTTGGATCTCCATGTTTGTTCGCTTCCGCTGTCCTAACAGTTTTTACTCAATTACTCTCTCAAAGGTAATAGAATTTTATGTTCTAAAATTTAGAACTGTTATTACTATTTGTTAGAACCCACTTCCATAGTAAACAATATTGTCCACTTTGGGCTCGCCCTCACGCCTTTAAAAAGGGTTATAACATATGTTGTACATTCCCCCCATATAATTCTCAAACAACTTCTGCCTTCCCAAGTGATGTGGGATCCCATTCACAGGTGTCCACCACGCTCCCGCACACACGTGTCCTCACGTGCATAGCTCAAGCAGCTGGCCCACTTCCTTCTCAAGTCTGCACACTTCCAGTTAGGCATTGGCTTTGATACCATCTGTCAAGCCCCACCACTATAATCAACACTAATATTCGCTTTGGGCTCCCCTTGTGGCTTTAAAACGCGTTGTTAACTAGTAAGATATGGTTACTTCTCTTCACTCCTATGAGTTCAAGTTTGTATACCTGAAAGCAGGGGCAGAGCCAGCATGTGCCAAGGGGCAGCTCCCCCCCCCCCCCCCCCCCAACAAAAAAAAAAAAATATGCTTTTCGAAAAATAATTCTAATTCTTTCCTTTTTTTGATCTTACTCTACTTTTTCTTCAATGTTTTTTCATACTCGTCAAATATATTTACATTCCTTTTCTACAATTAAATTATAATTTTTCCCCTTCATTTCCTTCTTTGTTATTCTTTTCCTTAAAATTTTTTTCTTCCATGTACATTGCCTTGTTTAGTTAGATTTTTTTTCTATTATACCCCACCTGAATCAAATTTCTGGCTCCACCCCTGCCTGAAAGTCTGAGATCTGCCCTCAGAGTTGATATCTTCCACAAATCTCTCAAAATTTTCATTATTGATTTACTTTGCCCTGTAAAGATCTTTGTATCACATTAATGCTAAATCTTCTGCCAGGTATATATAACTCCCAATAATTAAGTTCATCGAACATCTTAACCAATAGGATCTGAAGTTTTTAATATAGCATCCTTTTACTCTGGTTAAACATAACTCCCAACTATACATTCGCATAAGTCAGATCCATCATTTAAGAATTGATAGACCTAAACTCCAAATTGATATTCATCTATGTTCTACCATACTTTAATCCATAAGTAGATTTAATTCCGTAGTTCTAGTTATGCACTTAAATTTTTAACAAAGCTCGCCATGGTGTGCACTTTCTCCCTTAGGGGTGTATTCTATTACATCCCAAACCCTGAATTACGAAAAACTCAACTTCTACCCTAGAATCCAAAAGTCGTGATCTATAAATTTATACAAATGTCCATTGGATCTCATCAATATCCAACAAATCAAAAATATCCATCAAAATGAAATGCTCAATGCTTAGTCCTCCAAAATTCCAAATATCACATGCAACAAGATTACTCACCTTAAAAAATTTCACTCATAACATTGTACATGGACAAATTTTTAGAACCTAAATAATAAAGAATTTATAGTTTTCACTGTCCAATTAAATACATTGATTATTTTGATCTCCTTCTGTGCCATATCCTAAAAAATAGGAGAAGTGAGCTAGACAGCCTAGTTGGAAAGGACTCTACACTTCATTAGTATGTTACAAAAGCATACAATAAAAATTCATGGCACTAATTTATTCCTAAAACAAGTTCATCAAGTATCACTATCATTAGGCAAAAGAATTTTTAACATTATAGTGCAAAGTTATTCACATTTAAAAAAATGCAAGAGCAAGTATAAAGTATGCCAATAAATCAAGTCAAATAATAAGCCATTTTACCAGTTATCAAAATCAATGAGACCATGCATGACAATATCATGCAACCCCAGGATTGTGGCAATCCTATGTGCCACACAAGGACGTTACAGTAGCCCTCTACAAGTGGTGGGCATTCCACCCACCCTACATTCCGTCACACTAGGCTTCTGCCAATAATTTGAATGTGCAGTCCCTCCAAAACACCATCCATCCAAGACAGCTCTGCATCAGATTGTTCCACACAGAAATCAAGCATTTTCTTTAGCACCTCATTCTCACTGGGACTTTTCTACAACTGTCTTTTTTTGTCCAGAAGCCTTCCCTCTATCGTTTGTCTCTTTACTGCAATTTTTTCCCCAACTCTTTTCTCTTATTCTTCGTGCAACTCTCTTTCTCAATCTCTTTACTCTTTTGTTTACACAGTGTTGAGTTGGTGTATGTATGTTATATTTTGGTGTCCATGATGTATTTATAGGGCTCCACTAGCTGCATAATCACAGCTAGAATTCAGACAATAGTTGTAGTTCAGCAACCCATCTCGGCAAATTTGAATTTGAAATTTCATGTCTAATGGCTGCTTAAATGCAACCTTCTTATACAGAACATGGTTGTATTCTTGCATAAGGACATACTTTATATTGACAAATGACATACAATATATATCAAATGGGCTGCTGACTAAGTTGTAAGAGCTGTGGGTCTTCACCATGTATTGGGTAACTACTACTGAAAACAATAATCAGATAAAAAGACTAATCAGAATTTTTATTTTGAACTGACAGCCAGCTTACTCAAATGGAAACTACTGGCATCAGTTCTCTTTTTCCTTCTTCCAGACAAAATTCATCCCCTTCAAAAAGTTTCCACTCCAAAAATATTTATTTACTTGATTTCTTCCTTTCTCAAAATATAATCTTTCCAATATATATACATATATTTCTTGATAATAGTCCTCGCACTTTCCTACCTTATTCGATCTCCCTCTTACTTATTTAAAGCAAGCAAGGTTGTGTACTTCCATACACAAGTTCAGATAACAAAGGCTATAGGTTATCGGTTGTGATGTTTACTAAGGGTCAACCCCTCGGATTTTTAAGTTATTGGCCTCTATTCACACTTACACATCATATGCTTGTGTGGATACTTGCTGAGAGGGTAGGCTATAAAATTGAATTTTATCATATCGAAGAATATCAATTACTGATAATATGCTAACAAAATGTGGTATTTAGTAACTTGGAACCCATATCCATGCAAGAACCCACTTGCAAATGTGACACAAAATATAGTTCAAGAATAACTAAAATACGGTACAATATGTTTTAAATTCATTATTATTATTATTATTTTTTGGATAAGTAAAGGAATTCATTAAAAGCGTTCAAAAGGGGAACGTGTCCCGAATACAAATAAAACAAACAAATTGCCCTAGGGCCCCAAAGAATCCAGGAACTCTATCGTCTCCTCCGGGGAGTGACAATATCTACCCAAACCCCAAAAAAAGAGAGAACTAATAACGAAAGATTTGATAGTAGCAACCGAGGAAGTCTGTCCTTCAAAAGCTCTTTTCTTATGCTCCCTCCACAAACACCACCATAAACATAATGGCGCCATCCTCCATAACCTCTAACCTGTGAAGGCACAAGAGTCCCTCTCCATGCCACCAAGCAACCTCTCACTGTTCTAGGCATAACCCAAGAAACTCTAAAGAGACCCAACAATAAGTTCCAGCAATCCGCAGCCATTATATTTTCATTATTAAATATTAGAAACTAAGTCATCGTACTATTATTGTATATATTCTCCTAATTTTTACTTCTAAGTGTCCATGCTACTATAACAAGTTGTTTACATGTTATCCCAGTGCTGACTTGTGGTATTTTATAAATTGCATATTAGTAATCATGAATTTTCAATAAAATACTACAACTCTATTGTTTACATGTTATCCAGCAGGTTTTGGTATTGTATAACTTGCATATTAGTTAATCATGACTTTTCATTGCAAAATTGAAACTCTAAATGGTCAAGTCATAAAATACTTCAACGTTCTTTGAAGTTCACAAATTCCATCTTTTACAACTAAATTTCATAATTATTCATGCATATCATTATGTGTCTCCCTATTGTAAAGCCTCCAATATCCCCGTCAATATCAATAATTTAAACAGTAGGTTCCACAGCACCTCATAAATTATCACATTCCTATCAATTTAATAAATCCCATTTCTTTTAGCTATGCTGCCATATTGTTGTAAAAGAAAATTGTTAAAAGATAAACAGAACTGGTCTTATGCACAAAGGTAAATCCAGTAGCATGCCATTATAGAGGAAAATATATATTATCTTGCACGTCTATAGCACCTAAACTATGGAGGATTAAAATAGATAACCATTTTGACGCAGCTTGAGAACACGGGTGAAAGTCTAAGGCGGGCGACGTCTTTGTTCAAATATACCAAGTGTTGAAGTATGTAACTAATTCACCCAGCCCAACATCCACAATAACCAAATGTCCCGACCTACACTGGGTCATATCTTTTTTAATATAGATACAATGGTATAATTAACAGTCAAAACATTTCACAACCCAAAAGGATTTAGGATCTACTTTGAATATGATAAACAAAATACTACAACTCATACCCACGAAAAGGGAGGTGTTCCCACCATTCACAATAAAAGCAACGATATGGTGTCAAGGAAAGCATTGATCACGAGAGTGAGAGTGTGTGTCTAATTGATGCATATCAGGACCCACTCCCCACGCTGTGCAAATACTGTCCGCTTTAAGCTACACAAGTGCTCAAGGTTTTCAAAATGCGTCTACACAGGTAGGAGATGGCCCCCTTACAAGTGCTAGCAACTTCTCCCCCCGGGCGATGTGGGGCACATAGAACATATAAACATGATTGAAAACAATTCTCAACTAAACAAAACCTTTTTCAAACTACTTGAAGTTGGTTACATGAATCCTATTTTCCTACTCCGCTCTAAGGCCATAGCCTCGGCCAAACCTCATGTTATCATCTCTCTCCTTAGTAACTCCACACATGTTAATTTGGTCGTCCACTTCCCCTAGCATTATCCTAGATGTGGACCATGTCACTCTTCCAAATGATTTGTCCGGTAGGAAGGAAGAGAGGTGGAGGGAAAATAGGAGGGAAGGAACAAACTTCCTTCGATTGGTGGAGAGTAGAAAAGGAGAGAGGATAATAGGAGGGATGGGTCATCCTTCCTCTTTTACAAATTTTCATCCCTCCAAACAAGGGCGGAAGAGAGGAGGGAAGACCTATTATGGAAGTTTTGAATGATAACACTATCCTAAATTATACAACATTAAATTACAATACTATCCTCTATATATTACAATATTATAAATAGTGATTGGTATAATAGTAAAAACAATTCAAAAATCTCTCTTTCCTTCTCTCCCAACGAACACAATAAATTGTGAGCTTATTCTCTTTTCTTCCATCAAACCGAACAAAAAGAGGGAAGAACATAATCTCTTCTCTACGGATGTCTCGTCCATCTCTTCTTCTCTACCTTCCATCCAAATCTTTTCCTTCCTACCGAATGAAGCATAAATGATGCACATGGTGGTCCTCTTTGCAAATTTGCATATCCAAACCATCGTAATTGATTATCTCAGTTTATTTCTAATTGGTACTACTTCAACCATCTCAAAAATGGTTACTTCCAATTCTATCTTTTCTTTTCTAACTGCACATTTATTTCGACATTGGCATCTGCACCACAGTCCTTTTATGCATACGTTCTTTATTACTTATACAACATTCTAATGCATGAAGAATGGCTAGCATAAGAGCTTTCTTATAGAACTTCTTTAAATCTTAGAGGGATACACCAATCAAACAATTGGAAACAATAAGCATTTATTTTGGAGGGGTGTGATTGTAAGCAACATACACAACTCCCTAACCCACCTACCAAAAGTAATCACCTTCCAGACTACCGGCCCTACCCACATAGTGTGTGTGTGTGTTGGGGGGGGGGGGGGGAGTGACCACAGATTATCTAAATGAACTAAAAGATCTATAAGAAAATGGAAAAAAACAAAAAATGCCAAATTCAAGTTGCCAAATTCAAGTTGCCCAATTAGAGATAGATATACAGCTAAACACGGTCCGCACTGCACATGCTCGGCCACAATAACATATAAAGGACATACAGTCAATTAAACAAATAAACTAATTAAAAGTGTATTGGGCAGTCACCTATCCTTTAAAGTTAAACTACACACAATAAATTTACAAATCCAGATAAAAACAAACCACATTCATATTACTCGGCTAGGTAAGATTTCACATTACCATAAGAGCCATATAGTTTTCCCTTGGACGGCCTCTTCGAAGTCGAGAAACATATGGAACTTGAACCCCAGAACCTCCAAGAGAATCCTGTCTGGTGACAACAGGTCTCACATCTGACCGGACATATTGAACAGGACTGACATGAGATCTCGGAGATGACTGGCCATGTCCAGAACTTTTTACTGAAGATATCAACTTTCCACTATATTCTCCAGATTCTACTTCTGAAAGTTCTTCAATATATCGTTTTGTGGGCTTCCGAACTCTTTTGGCTGCTTTCTGTTCCACATGAAGTTCATCACTAATAGAATCATCTTCCAAGCTAGGATTTCTTGTTCTCTTACCAGAAACATTTATAAGATTTGATGTTTGATTATTGTGGCTAATTGGTGAACTTCTGCAGTCCTCATTCATTGCTCCAACTACTGAATCCTTGGCAAGTGTACCAACCACAGCCTCACAGTTTCCTTCTTTACCCTTCTTCACTACTTTATTATCTTTAATTACAAAAGTTGTAGTTGTAACATCACAAGAATTAGTCAATCCCATGGCAATCCTCCTTTTAAGCCACTGCTTGTCCTTGACAGAAGTTTCCCTCCCAAATGTTGCTTTAAATGTTTCTTGTAGTTCCTTAACTGATAGGTTTTCCAAGCATATTTCCCCCTGTAACTTAGAAAAATCAGGCTTCAAATTAGTACCGACAGCACCAGTTGACCTTCCACTTTCAGTTGGTTCACCAGGTGGGATTGAGCATTCCCCAGCAGTCCCAGACTGATCGATCTGGCTGCCATGTGAACTCAGTGCGGATGAAGGAACAACTTCCTGCAAAGGAAATTTCAGATTGAATCTTCTCATCAGTAGCAACAAAACTTATCACACAGGTGACAGGTTAAATACTACAACCATAAAAGCAAAAGAGAGATCCACAAACAAACACTCTTCCAGATTAACCTTTTGCAACGTCTCCTCAATATACAAGAAAAGGCGTCAAAGGCCAATAAGAATCCAACATAACTAATAACTTGATGAACTGAAATTAACACTAATTTTTAGAAATGGCAGAAAACAAGCAAATAAAAACAATAGCAGTAATGATAGTAATTAGTATTTTTGGCCAGGGGAAAAAAATAAACCACAAAAATGTGGGGTTGGACCTCAGCACAAAATGACTAGAAATAGGCAACCCAAATAAATAAGATTCCTAATTTTGGCAAGCCAGCCGTACGCCTGATTTGTTTAAATGACAATTTTTGTATCCATTCAACTATGTCAAAGAAGGGGGATAAAAAGTGCTTCGTACTGTAGCAAGGCCAAGCAATACCTCAAGTCGAGCATTTAATTTCCCCGAACCAATTCCTGTGTCAAGCTGAGCATTTGACTTCGCCACATCAGCTTCCGGATTATCAGATTGTAAAGTACCTGGCTCATATATCTCATTCAGATAAACATATAACAAAAACACCAATAACAAATAATAGCAAAAAAATCGGCAAATAGATCTACTGAGCCCAAACACCGTGTTGACAACATGCTGACATCAAAACAAGGTATCAAACCCACAAGTTGGAGAAAGCAATATCAAGAAAATATTAAAGTATGTAACATCTAGAAAATGGATTAAGCAGTTTGTTGTAATTTTAGAATATACAACTTCATGAATCAAGGGGATTCCTAAAAAAAAAACAAAGTGACAGGCAGAGTGGAAAAAAGGCAATATACTGTACACGGCTGAGAACCGCGGCTGAGAACAGCATCATTATCATAATGTAGTGGCATATAATAAAATAAAAATTTAGAAATAATTGACCTTCAGAACCTTCTAATCGGGTCTTGCCAGAAGGAAATCCATTGTTGGAAGTGCATCCTACAGTCTGCCCAGTGTCTGCAGCAAAAGGCATTTCACTCTTGTCATCTTCAAGCAAATCCTCAACTTCCATAACTTCATCATCTGTTGCAGGCACTAATCTTCCATCGCCCTCAACCTAGCAATAGATGAAAGAGTTTTAGTTCCCGATTCCCACTTGAAAAATACCACCTTTGAGGGAAAATGAGAATAAATGAACAAGAGGTGCAAACAAAGTAGGCACATCGTGAAGACGATTACAATGAGAACTTTTGTTAGCAATATTTATTTACAAGAAGCTACAATTTCATCAAGCCAACAGGAGAAGCACAAAGGAAAACAAGATGTCAAACCAACCACCAAAGGTTGTAGCCTAGTGGTACTTTCTCACCTTCCAAAGTAGAAGGTCGAGGGTTCAAGTCCTCATAGGGGCAAGTGGGTGTAAATGTGTGTTTCTTGCCAAGTTAAAAAAATAATAATAATAAAATATAAAAAATATTTATATATAAATATAGAAATCACAAAATATGAAGAAAGCCAGCAAGCCCACCCCAACGAACTAGCACCAAGCATTCTACCCACCACTTGCAAAGAATAGAACTACTGCTGGGAACAAGGCCTGAGAAGAGTTTCCTGGACGACATTAGGGAACAAGTCCAGCGATCATTTAAAAAAGAACCTATTCAATCACTTATCAACTATCTCCCTAGAGTTACCATTTGAGAAAAGCACTGTAACCAGGAATCCTTTAGAATACACCCCCTAATGAACTGATCAAATCCCTCATTCTTCAGTGATACCAAACATCTCCATGATTTTAATGATAGATCTAAGCACATTCAAGTCTCCATCCAGGTACAAATGGACACTGCTAGAAGGGTCTGACATATGTAACATAACGGCCTGAGGTTGGTTACACCTCAATATATTGGGATGTAAATTATGTAATAAACTCACAACATATTGGTTATCATGTAATGTAAACCCGTTTGTAACAGCGTAAACAAAAAATAAATAAATCTGGCCTAACCAGATCTCAATTTTTCTCATTTCTTCAACCTTTACTTTCCCAACTCATATTAGAGGCTTGATATAATAATTTTCAGATCCAAGCTACCGGTCCATTAGATCTGTCGTTTTTTTTTTTATAAGTCTTTTTAGGACTTCAGATTTTATTACTTATATGTTGTTTGTTAACTCGATTCATCATCATCATCATCATCATCCTTGCATTAATCCCATATGAATGGGGTAAGCCACATGAATTCTCTCTCCAATCTTTTCTACCCATGCCATTTCACTTATTATATTTAACTTTTTAAAGTCATTTTTAATAACCTCATCCCTTGTTATTTTTGGTCGGCCTCTCCGTCTCTTGCCTTCTATTACACCTAGTGTTCCTCTTTTGACCAACACGTCTCTAGGTCTCCAATGTATGTATCCAAACCATCTAAGTCTACCCTCTCTAATTACTCACCAATGGGTGCTACACCTAATTTTCTCACTTCCATTGGTGACCCTATCTCTTCCAGTCGCTCCATTCATCCATCTCAACATTCTCATTTCCGCAACATTAAGGCGTTGTTCTTGTTTCCTTTTCAGGGCCCAAACACACCGCTCCATACTACATGGTCTAATAACGGTTCTATAAAAATTTCCTTTTAGCCTATGCATTATTCTTCTATCACATGGTACACCACTATGTTAACTCAACTGAGTTCCTAAATTTATATAAATTAAGTGTTTATTCAATAAGTGAGTTTGACAATGCAATTCAAATAACACTTAGTAGAATAAGTTTTTCTTGAAATTTTAATAGAAAGAGATCTTACTTATCACTTAAAATTCAAAAAAGAATATCAAAAAAAAATCTCAATTTATAATTAGCACTTCAAATTCATATCTCACTATTTTCTATACTTTACTTTCAGTGCTATCAAACTTCACCTTAGTATAGCATGAATATTTTCACTTCATGAATAAATCTATGTTTGACAAGATGGTTAGGATCATCAAGAACCTGCATGCATTTACCAGTATTATTATGAATCCATGATGTATAAAATGTCTGGCTGTTTCTTATTTAAGATTTATGAATTACAGTCACAATTATAATTAATATTTGTATAAGTTAGTGCAGGATTCTTCACAATAAATGGTAATTTGTTCTTAAATTATTTTAAAAGATTATAAAATCCAATACAATATTTTTTTTACCATGGCAAGAAAAACACTCACGCACCCACTTTCCCCTATGGGGCTTGAACCCTGGACCTTCTACTTTAGAAGGCAAGGAAGTACCACTACGAAAACATTAAAATGTAACAAATAAGGATCAAAACATGCATATGGTTGGCTTTTTAGTGGTTTGCAAGTTATTACAAAAATTCATGACATCAATAAAAATTCTCCTCAAGATCCCAGGCCTGAAGGAAATATGTCCTCTTTTTTGGGTCAATGTCTCTTAAAAGAACAACTTTAGCAGAAGTAACTTTCATAATTTCTTTTCTAGCACCTTTAACGATTCTAATAAAGTACTCTCTTAATAAAAGAAAATGACCTAAAACTGTTCTCCGTCCCTCGAATTTGAGAAGAGAGACAGTAAGTGGTTTGCTAGCTTGATCCTTTATGTGCATCAAGGATCATCAACCAATTGATATCAATAACAATTACCATTGAGGTAAGTAATTGAAAGGTCGTCAATCTCACAACCAATCAACAGCATCAGTCAAAGAAATACAAGAGGTTGAAAGAAGTGTTTAGCTTCATAAGCATGGCAAGTTGAAGAAATTCCTATGTGATAATAGTTAGCTAAGAAACAATAAAAACTATCTCATGGAATTTATGTTGTTTGGAATGAATGGAATTTAAAACGCGATTCGATTTGTCGGGATTTCAAACACCAAAATATTACTTTGAAATCCCATGGAAAATTGTCGGATACCATGGGATTTGAAATTTACGAAGGCAAAGTTTTCAGTTTACCCAACTCTATTATTTTCTAGTTTATTCCAAACACACAAATGGAATTTCAAATAAATCATTTCATTTCCTTTTCCTTTTTGAAATCTGATTCCAAAACACTGTCTGGAATCAATTTTTTTAAATTTGAATTTTAAAAACATAACCAAATCACGTAACAGAATTCAAAATTTTGAAATGCAATCCACCAAGAAACTCAACCATCTTTTACGGGATTTCAAAACTCAGTATCTAAAATCCCTTCGAATCCAATCCCATTACAATTTCCAAACATTCCAGAATCTAAATAATTATAATCCAAATTTTATCAAATCCCATCATTTAAAGCAATGAAGATTGCATCACATTTGAACAATATGCAGATATATTAAATCCAGTTTTTCCAGAAAGTATCAATGTTGTAAGCCACCAAAGCATTTAAATATAGAAATTTATCCACATACTCATTTGCCAAGTTTAAAAAGCCCGAGTATTTTTACCCAAAATGGAATACTAGTAACCAATTTGATACCCACAATATCTTAATGTAAGACAATTAACCGGAAATGTTTATACTTTCGTCATCAATTCATTTGAATTACCTAATATTCATCCTTTTTCAACCTAAAGATCTTTCTTTCTTTGCAGAAAATAAAATAAAATAAAATTAGATATACCCGAACGAGCTTGTAGACAACAGGATCAGCAACTGTTCCATCCTCGAAGTTAGCATCATCATTTGCCTCAACTCCAATCACTGTTTCCATGGAAAATGCGCCACATGCAACTCAAAAACACAAACTGAAATGGGGGAAATTAATTCCCACAAAGTTAAAAAAAAATTCCCCTTTAATATTTACACACGGAGACACAAGAACACGTACGTATAAAGGGATAACATGTGCCACTAAACATGCTCCTAATTTTCACATTCAAAAATACAATTCACAACTAAAACCAAACTAAAACAAATCCAAGTTCGAGTTTTTGTTCATCAGCACAACACACTACAAATTCACAAATATTGTTTCTCAGCATATGTGTGTGTGCATATTATATATGTAAAACCTACTTCACTAGAACTCGTAAGCAGTCGAACTCACCATAGGACTGTATGGTTATCTGTACTCTGCAATTGACATTATCACCGACGGTAATCCACTGGAAAATGACGATTCCGGTGCTCGGAAGTCGACGGAAAAATATAAGGGTGAAATTAACCAACAAAGAGAGAATAGAAATGGACTAATCGATTGAATACCAAGATTTGAAAGGTTTGACCAGAGTTTGAAAGATCTGAGACTGAGTTTTCAACGATTTTTCAGACAGATTGATAATATGTGTTTGTATATATATTGAGAGAGAGATGGGGGAGAGAGATCACTTTTCTTGTTGAGTTTTCAGTCTTCGCTTTTCTAGTACGCTAGACCTTACCCATCGTACAGTTCCGGAATCGAAAGTTCTTATGAATTGCATTTGCTAAGTGGTCTTGGAGTCCGGATAGCAATTTCGTGACTTTTTACAATTTAATAACTTTTTATTTAATTAGGCATTTTAAATGACCATTTTGTCCTTTAATTTTAAAACTTTTTAATATTGCAAATTTAATTTAAGACAGCAATTTGCGACCTACTTTACCCATAAGTTCCGTAACAAAAATATGTTTCGAATCAAAATAAAAATACAAAGTAAAAACGGTTGTTAAACATGTCGTTTACTTTTATATAGAAGGTGGTGTCCATATCTAGCACAAAAGTAAGCAAGAAACATAAATAAGCAAGAAATGAAAAATGGAAGAAAAAGTTATTTTCTACTATGCATTTAGTTAGTATAAAAATTTATTCAAGAAATTTGTTAAAAATATTAGTTTGTTTTTCTAAATAGCATTAAGTGAAAAGAAAGTTATTGAACTTACTAAAATTACCCTTCTAATTTTAAATGCTAAATATAAATAAAATTGTATTTGATGGTGTCTATTTTTAGTAAAAAAAATAATAAAATAATGAATTATTAAATTTAATACTATAATTATTTATCTTTTATTTATATTTAAAATAAAACTTCATAATATTTTCTTAAGTAGAAGTAGAACTAATTATTGACTTAAGATAAACAAACTTTAAAGAAGAAGGAAAAAAAAACTAGGATGTAGAAACCAAAGGCAATACTAATTTTTTTTATTGCCAATTATATATGAACTTATAGAAAAATAAAAAAATGATTGTTTTGTTTGTCTCTTTGAAACTTAGTAAAATAAGTAAATAAAAATAAAAAACCAAGTATTTTGTGCGAGAAAAATTTTAGAAAAAGATAGGCAAATATAAAAAAATAAAATTTTTCATGACATTTATTTATTTATTAATTAAAACTTAAAAAATATATATTAAAATTTTTATCTTTCCTTCCTTCCTTCCGAAGCCTAATGGACTTCAGCAGTCAGAACTCATATTCTCTTTGGCTGCTGGGATTAATCTAATGAACTTAATCGTGCACTGAAAAGTATAACGAAATTACTCATACTTAATACTATAATAATGAGTATATTAAATGACATAGTATCTCCATCTCGGATGCGCTGCACCTCTGACACCTGACATAACAGTAGCTTTGACCGATGGACATAGGTTCTCTCACACGCGGATTCCATTCTCATACATATATATATATATATATATATATATATATTTTTAAGGTGAAAAAGTTCAAAGTTATACCAATAAATGCAAAAACATTGAGGTTAATTACAACGACACTTCCTGAAATTTGTCATATTGACAGTCATATACAACTTAGTCTTTTTTTAAACAAAGACACCCCCTAAGTTTGTAAATTCGAACAATGACACCCCAAATATGATGAAAATACATGTTTACCCTTTGACCATATAAAATGACCAAATTACCGTCATTCAAAAAATCTCTTCTTCCAAATTTTCCATCTTCCCATTCATTCCCTGTGAGCCCTTCTTCCCCGCCGTCCATCAAGCTGCCACAACCCACAGCCGGGCTTATCACCATCCCGTTATCACCCTCATCCGAGCCATCTACAGCCGCAATCTATTACCCTCCTTGAGTCACATATGGTCTATTTGATTATTATAAACAAAGCCTCAATATTTCAGTTAGTGTAATGTAGAATTATTGAGTCAATTTGAAGATAGATGGAGCTAGGATTTGGGTGGAAAAAAAATTGCAGAAAATATAATAAGGGTGGTGCATAGTGTGTGCAAGATAACCACCAACATCTGGTAGTATAGTCCCATCTTCAAGAATCCCACCCTCACCTCCCACTCCAACCGGAATGTCGTCCCGGTCCATCATGTAAAGAATGTCATAAATTTGATTAATAGCATGCCCAGCATCAGTCCATGCATTAGTGTTAACAATTATTGCTTGCACCAAGTTAAGGTAATGTATATATATAAGAGTCTGAAATTATATCACCAGTGTTGTGCATATGATCAGGAGCTATCAGTTACAAGTGAATATCACTAGAGCTTGTTTCAGTAAACTATATCAAAGAAGAAAAAGAATTAGGAAGCATGATCTCCAAGTGTATATATAGTATATCTAAAGTACCAAAAACAATTAAAGTTTGCTTGGAGCATACTTGTTGTTGTTTGCTTGGAGCATTGAGAGGTTGCTTGAACTCCATATTTTCTGGCGTATTCTATTATTGCCGTTGTTTGCTTGACGCATAGAGAGGTTAGAGAGAGAGTACAGGGTTTGAGAGAGCTCGTTGCCATCATCCGCAAGCTCACAGCCAAAGCCATTCACAGCCAGCCCATCTCCACGTCGGGGTTCACAAGCCGCTGTAGCCAAAGCCGGATCCGTCTCACTGGGCACTGCCACAGTTTATCTACAGCCGCAATTGCAGCCGCCGTGAGTCATCCACGGCAATTCAGTTCTACCGCTGTTCCAAGCTGAACCAGCCCGTCGCCCACGCCCAGCTGTCTGCTGTCCCCATCTCCCCACCATCCGAAGCGGCTGCCATCAAAACTAAGCTCGCAGTCGCCTCCATCAAAACCGATCTTCTTATTTACGGCTTACTTTTCCACAGTCGTAGCCTTCTTCACAACCGCAAGCTGCCTTCGCCATCATCCACGCCCTAATCCACCGTCGCTGCCATCTCGTCGCGAACCAGACCATCACAATTGAGTCTTCCCCACAGCCCATCGCCGGCACCACCTTGCCCGAACCAGCCCATCCTCACCGTCCGAGCTCTTCACCGTCTGTGCGTTTTGGGTGGATAGCTATGGAGCACATTTTTTTTTTTGTCAAATATTTATTCATAAGGCTGTGTTTGGTCAAGAAGGACGGAAAGAGAAACAACAGAGAGAGGTAGTTTAGTCATTTTATGTGAGAATTAAAATATATCTTAGGGCATATTAGACATTTTATGTCACTTAAGGCTGTGTTTGGCTATGTTTTTTTAAAATGGGGTGTCATTGTTCAAGTTTGCAAACTTAGGGGATGTCTTTGTTCAAAAAGGGGTTAAGTTGTACATAACTGTCAATATGGCAAATTTTATGGGGTGTCGTTGTAATTAACCAAAAAAATTAATTTTGTCCTTCCAAAGTCTACCGAAGACATTAACCCATAGATTATCAAAGTATTTGCGATTCCGTTCTCATATCACCATCTTCTCCTCTGTCACAAAATCAAGTTATGTGTGTCTTCTTATTACATTTAAATTGACAAACACAATAATTTTAAATTGTTTATAAATAATTTTAGATTAAAAATACAAAAAATATGTAAACAAAATTAAGTTATGTGTTGTCTTATTATATTTAAATTGACAAACACAACAATTTAAAATTGTTTATAAATAATTTTAGATTAACAAACCAAACAATATATAAACGTGTTACATTTTTTTTTAATATTTTACAGCGTTACAATACAATATTATATATTCCACGAATATTATATTTTTGATGTAAATGCATTAATATCATTTGCATATTGTGACGTAGTAGGTTATAAATTATAATAATTCACTATCTGTTATTACAAAAAGATGATTGACTTAAAAAATAAAAAGTTAGAGTTTACCTTTTTAAGTCGAGGATTAAAAAGAAGAAACAAGAAGTGCTTAACATTAAATATTAAATAGTGTTTTAACTTTTAACTATTCCTTTATAAAATAGGAGGATTTGAAAGAAAATGGTGCAATTATGCAACAATAAAGGTTTCGTTTGTTTCGATGTAAAATCTTTTATTTGAAATTTTTTTTTTTAAAGAAAAATATTATTTTATTTTTACTTTGTCAGTGTTTGGTAAAGGTTTACGTCAAGATTGAAGTCGAATTCATCGAGTGAGACATGTAAAATAACTTGTAAAAAATTGATAAATATATTATTTTTGTTAAATTTTAATATTTTTTTCTTCGTAAATATTATACGACAAACATAAAAAAAAATAATAAAATATTTTTTGAAAAATATTTTGCAGTCCAAACCTAAATTACTATTGGCTTATAAGAAACCCAGACAAGGTCTCTACTTTGAAAAGGAAAGACAATATTGGTTTTACTTTAGTCTTGTGATCATACCAGAAAAGGGATTTACAGAAAATAGACAATTACAATTCAAAAATCAAAATGTTGAAGCCTAAATTACTATTGGCTTATAAGAAACTCAGACAAGGTCTTTACTTTGAAAAGGAAAGACAATATTGGTTTTTCTTTAGTCTTGTGATCGTACCAGAAAAGGGATTTACAGAAAATAGACAATTACAATTCAAAAATCAAAATGTTGCTATTAGAAGCAGAGAATATGTGCTTTGAAATTTAAAATCTTCCAATTTCCAAATCCAAATTGAAGATAATAGTATAACACGTGAAAATATTTTGGTTCTTCCTGTTGATATACTGTTCTTGTTTGAACTAAAGAAACTAGCTTAATGCACATGGATCTCCCATCTTCAAACCAAATAATAATAATAATAAGGTCAAAAGTTACTTTGTCTACCAACCAAAGTAAAAAATAAAAAAATTAATTAATTAATTAATGACAAAAATATTAGGGGTTAGTGTTTAGAGGGAGAAAAGAATGGAAGGTCCGAACATTTCCAACCACTCACAGAATAGGCAAATCCTCCAACTAAAATATTTGAACATTCATGTGTACATGTTTTGAAAGAGAAAGACACAACTATGAAAACATCAAAATAAGTAACTTGAAATTCATTTCCATAATTGGTCCTAATCATCTCCTGTCCCTTGACACACCAGAATTTCTTTTGAATAACCAAGCTACCTTATTTTATTAATTTAGATTAACTTTAGTGACATCTTTGAGATTTGGACAAATAAGATATCTTTTGAGAATAAGTATCACTCAAACCTTAATTTGCTTTTTCGTTATTTTTACCGTTAAAAATATTTGAAATGAAAATTTTACCTTCAAAATTTTAATTCACTTTAATTAAAAAATATATGAATAAATTTAAAGGACAAAAATGCCCTCATTTATTACTTAAAAGGAACGCGAGAATCCACTAATATCCAGACCAGTTCCCATGTTATCTTCTTCACATCATCGATCTCCAATGGCTTCAGCACCTGAACCGGCCACTCATCTCCGCCGCCACCGCCGCCGATCAACGTCGCGGGCTTCCCCTTCAACGTCGAGTTCCAATAATTCTTGATCCACACGATCGTTGTTGAGGAGTGTTGCAATCGTCGCCCACTTGTTCCTGGAACCTTGCCTGCGCAGGCACGATATTCCACCTTCGACGAGAGTTGATTACACCACCGGAGACGGCACGAGTTCCCGGACCTACCCAGAATCGATTGAGAAATCAACGTCCAGTTCCGCGCTTCGTGTTGATCCAATCCCTCCATCGTTGATTCATTGTTCCTCTATGCACCATCGTTATTCCTATGTACACCATCGACTCCATTGTCGATTTGCTGGAAATCAAGAACATAGGCTTCGTTGTTCCTTTGTACACCATGGAAGAAAGTGTCAAACACTCTATGCGATCACATGTGACAATTGTCGATGCGCCAGTGAGACCCAAATTCGATTCCCACCCACTATTTCTTTTGATTTCGCAATCTAGATAGTTAAAGTTTTGACTTGCGAATTCCAATTTTGGAGTTTATGGTTTATTGTATATGATTTTTATTTTTATTATTGGGACAAAGGCAGAAAACACACTTAGGTATACTATGCATAACACTTTCACATCCTATTTGAAAAAATGTAAAAAAAAATACCATAATCTTTGCAAATTGTGTAAAAATACTCCATTTAAAATAAATTTATATTATAATACTAATTTTACTCTTTTATTTTTCTGAAAATGCCCGACCAATGGAGTATTTATGTTAGTTTTTTCATAAAATAGGTGTGTTATACGCACATTGTCTTATATTATTATTATTATTTTTTGTAAATTAATCAATTCCAGTGAGACAGAATAACCATTAACTGTTTCTTTCAATTTATCAATCGGGGAATTCACATATTTGATTTGGGAATTATAATTTTGGAGTTTATGGTTTATTGGGTATGACATTTGGTGGTTACCACTTACTGGATTCAACATGCGTCCTCCAGCCAATATTCACTATCACCACCGCCGACGACTTCCGTAAGGCCTCAAACGTCGTCGAGTCCTCCATCGCCAACCTCAATTCGGTCCACTCTATCTTCCATTCTGAAGAAGTTGGAACAAACCTCTCTCCCCCTCTAATCTCCCAGAAAAACCCCATTCTCTTTTCAGTTTGGTCCTACATCACTTCACTCCAAATGGGTCATCTCCGAAACCGCAAAGACCGTCCTGCCAGTGTTTATGGATTTTTGAGGCACTGGAGAGGACACAATATATATATGGTACGTTATATAAGACATAATAAAGAGATATACTGAGTAATTTAATTAGTAAATTTACAGAATATTTAGAGATATTTTAGTCTTTTATCTAATTCTTTAGGTTAAGGAGTATTTTGATAAAGTCATCGAGTGTTTCAATCATTTTACATCTTTGACGATGTGAAGCTAACCGGTTGGGGTGTGAGTAAAAAACCAAACTTCTATTTGGAGAATGAGTGACAGTAATTTTTAAAAAGTATTTCATTATGATAGTTAGCTAAACCATAGAGTAGTGTCATTGAAATTAACCCTATGAATTATTTTCTTGATTAATGCAGTGCTAAATGACATTTCAAGAGCAGAGATTGTTATTAGTTTGGACGAAACAGTGTTTTTAATTCCAATTAAGACAGTGCTCCCAAAAAGGGACGGACCTAATAAGCAGTTTCATTTTTTTTTTTTTTTTGTATATCTCTATAAAATAATAAAATTGCCCCTACTAAAATTATAGAAAAACCGCACTTTTGTCGGCACAAATTTTTTTTCTTGTTAAAAAAGGCCCCCTCACATAATGTCCTGGATCCATCCCTTCTCCCAAACACAGCGAATGAGCTACTTCCATACTTTTCCCAAAACATCTTCAAACCAAGGGCCAATGATATTCAAGGTCACTATAGAGATGGATGTATCACTCTTCTCCACAGGGACAAAAGGTGAGAGAATCATGAAGTGCACAATAGACATAATATTGAGAAAAGAGTATGTACCAACCCTTCTTTCCAAGACTTTAACTAGAAAGCAAACACTAGAAGGAATATCTTTAGACAAGCATGGGTAAAGAATAAAGAGGGCTGTTGAAAGTTTCCATCAAAGAAGATAAAAAGAGAGTACATCAAGAAATGGATAAGACAATCAACAGAAGAACCAAATCACATTATAAGCCTTTTTGGCAAATCTGAAAGGATGAGATAATGAGAGCAATTAAAAGCTCCAATGTGGAATTCAAGAAATCAAACACGTGTTATCAAACAATAATTCATGATCTCACAAAAATTCCCAAGAAGCAGTTTTGAGTATATGAAGTTTATCCCACTTTTACTAGTCGAAATCTGTAGAATTAATCTAGATGGTATAATCTCTCTTTTTTGTAGGGGAGGTTGGTTGGAACCTGTAGAATTAATCTAGATGGTATAATATCTCTTTTTCGTAGGGGAGGTTGATAGTTCGAACCCTATCAGGGCAATACTGACAAAAAGGATATATATATATACACACACACATCAAAAGAGACCACTAGACAATGAAACTATGCTTGATTACAAGTAGACACCATAGTTGCACTGACTTGCAGTGGGAAATATATAACACTGTTATTTCCTCAGAAAAAAATGGTGAATAAAGTTGAATCTAAAGGTGGAAACTACTGATATTTAAACAGATCATATAGAAGACATGTCTTCTTTTACCAAAAATGCAGAAAGTATATGAGATCTTGGTTAAATTACCGGGACCTCATTCTCTTCTGACTGCCTTTTCCGTCCGATTTCATAGTCCCAACCGAATCCCCTTCCGATGAAGTTTCCATGGAATTGGCGAAAGAGCTCGAAAGATCAGCATAAAGATCAACCACCCTTCTAATGTTGCTGTTGAGCTCTCTAATTAGACCCGCGTTTCGGGTTAAGTTATCGGGGATTTTAGACTCGTGGTTTTGGTTGATCTCATTGATTATCAACTTGTTCTGGTCCAAAATGTCTTGGACCTGCACAAAGCTCATCTGAAATGTCTGCAAAACTTTGCTATCTACTTGGGTTCCATTGTCAATGCCACAAAATATATCACCCTCCATTTCTGTTCCACCAATTCAAACAAAAGCACTTATACCCTGCATTTAAAAAATCAATAAATGATAGGGAATTCTTACCAAAATAAATAGATAAATAAAAAGTTTACTGAATTTAATTTCTGAATGGTACCCAGATCTGATCTTAGCTTTTTCATACAATTGAACAAAAAATCATAACGCAATATATAAAATCATGGAATCATTCAACCAAATTTGTGCATGAAAAACAATGTATGAGGCAAAAACCATAGGTTACAGGTAGGTTTACAGATGTTATTGGAAAAAATTATCAAACACATATATATATTTTTTAACCCAAACCCCCAATTTTGAATGAAAAATCCCAAAACTCGGACACCCAAAAATTAGTCAATTCTAGAGAATTGATAAGAAAAGCAATTCAGGAGAAACAAACAAAAAGATAAAAAGTTCAAAATGGGATGAGTTGCAGGAGACAAAAATTGAGTTAGATGAAATGATACTCTGAATATCAATCAATTAGATAGAGATCTAATCATCAAAGTAGACACATAAAAGCAAGTGTTCTTTGCGAAGCATATAAAAAGAAGTATAAAAGTATTGGAATTTACAGAACAAATAATTAAGATACATACTCAGATAACCAAAAAAATTCATATACTATGATTTTAAAGGAGAAAACAAACATACCCATCAAGGAAAAGCTGATAAAATAAAAAAGAATCTCAATTTATTTTTCGCAATTTTTTTAGCTTACTTGGAAATTCTGGAAAAGAATTTATTTTCCGAAGAGAGAAACGGCAAAGTGAATTTATCGGAGAAAGTGCGGGAAAGGTCGGCAGTGGAATCAAATCTCGGATTGTGGGGAGACTGGGATTGAGCAGAGATCCATAAATCATGAACAGGAGAGAGAGAAGGTGTAATTATATATAGTAATACTTACGAAACTTTGACACTACAAACGGACCCTATCGTTTTTGTTTCTCTCTCTAGATGTTTCTCTCTCTATAAGTTTACTTCACCTGAGGGATTCTGCGTTCACCTATCGTTTTTGTTTCTCTCTCTATATGTTTCTCTCTCTATAAGTTTACTTCACCTGAGGGATTCTGCGTTCATTCGTCCGCGCTTGGTGGTCAGCAGTTTCGGTCATATCGCGATATCGGTTGGGATAGCTCGAACAAGGTATAAACTGACCCATATGTATACGCGAACCATTTGATACTGTTATGGTTTCTGTTTCATAAGACGAGGCAACCGTAGTAACTAGTAAGTTCTATACTTTATAATACAAAAATATATATGTTTTCAATATATAATATATTATATAATAGTGTAAATTATTTTTCCAGACAAAAAAATTTTTGTTTTAAAAATATATTTTATATTATATTATTAAATTATTATGCAATTTTTATTTTATATATACCATATCTATACCATATTATACATAAATATTGAATTGTAGTTAATTTATAATATTATATATTTTATTACATATAATATTCATTATTTAACATTCTTTATTTGTTATAATTATGATATATTATATGTTAAATATATTATATATCACATAATAAATATATACATATTGCATTTATATGCACTTATATATATAATTGTTTTAGTATATCTTATTTTGCACTTATTTTTTTAGTATTATATATTAAGATTTGTGATTTAATTTATATATTATATTTTATTATCATGGCGTATTGTAAATATATGTGAAATAACTGAATTACATACATATTTTAAGCTTTATCGTACGAATAAAAAAATTAAAATTAAAAAATATTATTTACATCTTATAACAAATATGTATTAGTAAACAACATGTTAATAAACGTTATTCTTGCTTTTAGTTTTCTACTTCCACTCGAAAAAGCAAAATAATGTTTTTGATTTTTTAAAATTGCAAAAATAAAAAACGAAGACGATACCAAACGCAACCCCAAACTATTTATCACAACATAGATCAAAACTTATAAACATGATAAAATATGACCAATGGCATGCTCTAAAGCCGACTGAGGTAAACCTCCTCTGAGGTTTAGACAAATTACACATAAGCATACCATTTACCATTTGTTGCTTTACTTTCCCTGATATTGTACCTATGTGTTTAATACCGAAGCGTTTTCTTTCTCCTGTTGATCAAATTTTATAAAATAATAATTTTGCTCTTATCAAAATCTTGCCTTTCCCTTTTATAAAAATCAAGGCATTATTAACTTTTTATGTATAAAGTTCCCTTTTGATAGTCCGCTAATAGATTTAAAAAAAGTCAAAATAATAAACATTAAATGATTTGTATGTCATTTACCCAAAACTTATAAGATGTTAGTGTAAATCACCTTTATCATAACATAAACTAATTAACCGTAATAAAATTTATGGCAATCGTTGCATGGAGGCAGAGAGCCATTAAGGATGGTTGCCCCACTAATTTTTTATTTATTTATACGTCCCAAACAAAAATTATCAAAATTTTAAAACACAGCCTTAACTAAAATTTTAAAAACCTCCTTACTTCTCGTTGGAAAGGGGTGAAAGAGGATAAAACTTAAATTTGCCTGTTATAGTAAATGGCACAACCAATTTATTAAATATTGATACAAAGTAATAGGATTTGCTAAAATAAAATATTTTTTTTATGTTACATGATACAATTGGTTAATAACTTAAGTATCTAAATATTAAAGGTATATGCAAGTTTTTCTCGCAAAGGAGGGAGAAGGAAAATAGAAAGGGCGGGGTGAATAGAGAACCTGATTTACCCCAAATGAAGTTAGGTTAATTCAAATTAATTTTTCTTATTTATTATTTTTTAAATTTTGTGATTGGGCCACATAATCGGAGGAGAGTGAATATAATAGAGAATGTTAATCAAATATTATATTTCATATATATTCCTCTTACTATTTATTAAGTCATTATTATTTATTTATATTTGTTTTTAGGCATGTTCGGTTAACAAAACATTTTGTTTTAAGCCAAACAAAACTAAAACAAAAGAACAGCGTTACTTTGTAGAGTGCTTTGAACAGTAATCAAAACCATAACCATGTTTAGTAATGTTAGATTTTTTTGAAGCAAAAATAATTGTTTTATTTGTATAGTTGAGGAGGCTTTTATTGATTTGTGTTAGAAACTGATTCTCTATCTCTCACGAGGGTATGAAACTTTGGATTTCTTTCCAAAAAACAATGCCCATGAAGTAGCAGAAATGCCGGATTCCTCTCAATTTTCTCGATAACCAAACGGAAAAGAAAAATGGCGGAGAGTTCGTCATCTTCCCCAAAACCAATCCAAACAACGAACAGCGTCGAATCAATCCCCCAAAATCCAGCGAACCTAGCAATGTCCTCTCCTTCAAACATCTCTCCTTCCCCATCAATGGACATTCAACAAATCTCTTCCCCACCTCCCCCTCAAATTCCCTCAACCCCGTCACAGCACCACCACCACCAACAACAAGAACAGCAAATCGCAACCTACTCCTCCGTCGGATTGGATTACCAACAAAAACCCCAACAACAACAACAATCGCAACAACAATTGATTCAGCAACCATCACAACAACAACAACAATTGATTCAACAACAGTTACAACAACAGCAATTACAGCAGAATAACTTGATGGGCACATCGAGTTATCAAGTTCAGCAGAGTTTACAGAGATCACCCTCGATGTCGAGGTTGAATCAGATGCAGCAGCAGATGAGGCAGCAAGTGGGTGATTATGGACAGATAAATTTTGGTGGTGGTGGTGGGGGTGTTCTTTCTCAACAACAAAACCAACAAAATCAGCAGCAACAGATGGGTAGTGGAAATTTAACGAGGTCGGCATTGATGGGTCAGACCGGGCACTGGCCGATGTCACCAGGCCAAGCAGCTGCAGCTGCTGTCCAGTACAGTTTACAGTCCCAATTGTTAGCTTCGGTATGAAATGATACAAACTTAGTGCTTTTCTGTTATTGGGTTGAATTAGAACTGAGAATTGCTAGTTCAAATTGCTAGAATACTGAATTTACCAGAGTTCATTAATTTGCATTGCTAGTTCAAATTGTTAGAGTACGAATTTAGCAGAGTTCCTTATTTTTTTATTTTGTAAATTTTTTGTAAATTTTGAATGTTGTGTGTATTTACATATAAAAAAAAGAATGTTGTGTGTATTTCTTAATAAGGAAAATGGAATTATGGGTGCAGCCAAGGCAGAAAACGGGTTTAGTCCATGGGTCCCAGTTTCATCTGGGTAATTCAACTGGGCAGCCTTTGCAAGGAATGCAAGCAATGGGGATGACGGGGTCTCTCAATTTGAGCTCACAACTTAGAGCAAATGGGCCCTTCCGTATGTGCAGCAACGGATGAATCAGGGACAAATAAGGCAGAAAATGTCGCAACATAATCCACTCATCTCAGCTCAGGTATAAATTTAGCTGTTCTGTTTAATACTTGGGTTAAAGTTTATTTCTTTTCTTTTCTTTTTTTGGTAGGACTTGGGTTGAAGTTTCTGAAGTTGTCACTAAAAAGAGTGCTAAGACACCTTTTAATGGGGGTGCCTAGGTAGTCAAAGTATAGGTTCTCTCTTAATTTTGTAGCCTCGTAGGTGCTCTTTAATTTAAGTTCAAATTATACACCAAAGTTACCCAATGTTCATCCAATTCTGCTTTATCTCATGCCACAGTTACTGTAAATTGCACTTCATCAATTCTAGGGTGTACTTTACAGGGAATATATTATAGCATTTGAGCAATAATTCTGAAACCCGGTGAAAGTTTTCATTGCTTTATGCTCTCTTAAATTATTGCTTATAGTTTGGTACCTTGTATCCTTCTTATTTGTATCTTATTTGAATTGTATATTGTTTTTTTCTGGAGGAGGGGTTAGGATTTGAAATAGAATTTTATTAAATAATATCGTTTGATATTTTCATGATACGCAACATATTGCTTAGAAGTTAGAAATTACATAGCAACATATACTTGTGGGTTATCTTACAAACCACATCTGATTGCACGATTGGCTTGTTGATTGGCCCAACGATTGGCCATCACTAGTTCTGGACCTGATATCCCTGGAGGGATTGACACTGGAGATAGCATTGCGCTGATCCTTATGCCTCTCACATATATCCTCTTGACCCTTTTGAAAACAATGTAAGACTCATTGTCACGTGGATTAAATACCGAAAATCCATAACCATTTGAGAAATAGGTCCTTGTTTAATTAAAGAGTCATCATGGGTTGTTGGACATCTAGAAATTACTTTAATGGACTCCATTGCCGAGTGAGATTGTCTTCACTAGAGAACCCAACTTTGGAGGTTATGGTACGAGATGGGAAGGAGAAGGCATCCCACCTAATCCCATCAAATTTGGACCTTCACTCATCAGTCACTCGAGGTTAATGGTCAAAATGCAAAAAAAAAACATAATTCAATAACATTCCACATAAGGAAACATGTTTTAGCATGTAGCATATTCTACCCAATAAGCATGCATTGGCTCCCATAGTCCCATATTAAAGTGCAAATATAGAAATTACTAAAGCATGCAAGCACACAAGAACTTGCACCGCCAAGAACACGCTCTCCTAATGTGTACCACTTTAATAAGCAAAGACACAAATAATCACAAAAGAGAACAATGGAGCATACCTTATGCAAACAATTCATTAGCCGGTGCCAAACAAGAAAAATAATCATAGTAGTAATGATGATAGTGACAATAAAGAGAAAAAAGGAATAACACATACTAAGCTACACACTATATATCATGGTACACGCTCATAAAGCAAGAAAAAACTAGATGACTTCTAGATCATGTAGTTTCCATTAACCAAATCTTAATTAAAGTCGCAAAATGACTATCAAGATCCACGAGAACTGATGAAAAACAATGAACATTTAACTAGTTAGTATACTCAACACGCATGCAATGATCATGCTCTATCAGAATCTCTAAACTGAACAAATTATTACTATGCAAATTAATACCTACAACATGATTTGGACTATATAATATTGGATTGTCTTCTATAAATTAAAATAATATGAAGACTAAATCTAAAATCAAAATATGCATGAAATAAATCCTGAAATCATCAAATGATTTTAAAACTGTGGAGCATGCAAAGTATCCAAACAACTAAAGGAAGTAACTAAAAATCAAAATTCCAGAAACCTATTCACTCCTTCCCAAGACTTTCCAATGATAAAATTAAGTTATAAATATAGAATCACTCAA